GCTGCCTTTTTTCAGAGCTGCCCTACCCAGCGAGGAGGCAGCCTAGTCACTCTGCCTGCAGAGGCTTTGCTGAGATGCTGTGGGCTCTGCCCAGTTGTGTGAACTTCCCTGCAGTCCTGTTTATACGAGTGTAATTAGAACTTCTTTGGCAATGGTGGACTGTCTCTGTAATGGGAGCCTGCCTTGGCAATGGTGGGCTGCTTCAGCAATGGCAAACTACCTCCGTAGTGGTGGGCTGCCTAGGTAATGGCGAATACCTCTCCCCTACAGAGATCCCAGGTTCAGCTGTGCTTGCTGTGAAACTCTCAATCCAGAACATTTCTGATTGCTGTTTTTTTGTGGGTGTGGGACCAGCCGAGCCTGATGACCTGGCTCCCTGCCTCAGAGCCCCCCTTTTTTAAGTTGAACAGTCAACTCTCTCCCAGGTGTTCCAGTCGCCTGTTGAAAAGGCCCCGGAATCTGTGTGATTTCCCATGTGGCAACCCACTGTGCTGGCTGAAACAGCCGCAGTGAGATTCCTGGCGCTTTTTTGCCTGGGATTCTCCTGGCCTGGTTCCCTGTTTCAGTTCCCTTTTTAATTAGGTGAATGGGCGACTCTGTCCCCCAGGAGCTCCAACTGCCAGCTAAAATGGCGCCCGGACCCATGTATTTTGTATGGAGAACCTCTGCACTGGGGTGCCAGCAAAACAGCCACGTCAGCCAAACCAGCTGCACTGGCAACCCGTGGGGCTTCTCTACCTGGGAATCTCCTGGTCTGTGGGCAATAAAAATCCATCTGCAAATACGGCATCCACTCACCCTCTGCACTTTCACTGGGAGCTGCAATCCTGAGCTGCTCCTAATTGGCCATCCTGGATCTCTCCCCTAATAGTGTAGCTTTTCTAGTTGTTTTTCTACAGGAGTTTGAAGATAGTTACTCCATTGTCTTTGTGGCTTTTATTGTTTGGTCATCAGCCTAACTGTTCCTTTTCAGGTAATTTGTCTATAGTCTGTGGCAGACTTAAGGGTTGTCTCTGCATCTTTTACACTGTATAGTTTAATTATGAAATATCTAGGTAATACATCCAGATTTTTGATATTTTCATTCTCAATGACAATTTCTTCAAATGTTGCTTCTCCATCATTCTTTTTTCCTCCTGAGATTCCTCTTTAAAGAGGCTGCCCATTTGTTCCAGCCACCATTTCCTCTTATTTTTCATATTTATGTATCATTCTGGATAAGCTTCTAAAACTACATTTCAATTTGGCAGTTTCTTTTTTTGCTAGTGTCTGATCTAGAGTGGATCCTACAAATTGTAGTTTTAATTTCAATGACTATATTTTATTTTCAAGAATTCTAAATGTTTCCTTAGCTTGGTGGTTTCTAGTATCAAACAGCTTGCCATTGTTATCTTTCTCTTAGATTTCTTTCTTGAGAAGGTGAACTTTAGACCCAGTAGTAGATGGGGTTCCAGACTGCCCTACCCTATAGGAGCCAGAGTCCCCATTGTCAAGATCTGTGTCATGTCCTGGTTTCCAGAAAGTCTGCAGTTTGAACTTTCCCAGTGCCTTCTCTTCCCCTTCTGTTTCTCATTGTATTGCAGCCCCTTCCGGTGTTTCTGGCCCATGGAGAAAACTGTCCTGTACTTAAGCCTGGCTATGCCTTTCTTTTGTCTTATCACTTCATTATGTCTGTCACTGGCACAAATTGGATCAGAGGGTTTAAAAATTTTTTTAAGTTCCAAGATACATATGCAGAACATGCAGGTTTGTTACCTAGGTATACATGTGCCATGGTGGTTTGCTGCATCTATCAACCTGTCATCTAGGTTTTAAGCTCTGCATGCTCTCCCTCCTCTTGTTCACCACCTCCTGACAGTCCCCAGTGTGTGATGTTCCCCTTCCTGTGTCCATGTGTTCTCACTGTTCATCTCCCACTTAAAAGTGAGAACATGTAGTGTTTGATTTTCTGTTCTTGTTAGTTTGCTGAGGATGATGGCTTCCAGCTTTATGCATGTCCCTGTAAAGGACATGATCTCATTCTTTTTTTATGACTGCATAATAGTCTATGGTGTATGTGTACCACATTTTCTTTATCCAATCCTTTATTGTTGGGCATTTGGGTTGGTTCCATGTGTTTGCTATTGTAAATAGTGTTGCAATAAACGTACATGTGTATGTGTCTTTATAGTAGAATGATTTATATTCCTTTGGGTATATCCCCAGTAATGGGATTGCTGGGTCAAACTGTATTTCTGGTTCTAGATCCTTGAGGAACTGCCAGACTGTCTTCCACAATGGTTGAACTAATTTACACTCCCGTCAATCCACTCAATTGTAAAAGCATTCCTATTTCTCCACAGCCTTGCCAGCATCTACTGTTTCTTGACTTTTTAATACTTGCCATTCTGACAGGCATGAAATGGTATCAATTATGGTTTTGATTTGCATTTCTCTAATTATCAGTGATGTTGAGCTTTTTTTCATGTTTGTCGGCCACATTAAGTGTCATCTTTTGAGAAGTGTGTGTTCATATCTTTTGACCACTTTTTGATGGGATTTTTTTTCCTTGTAAATTTGTATAAGTTCCTTGTAGATTCTGGATATTAGACCTTGGTCTGATGGGTAGATTGCAAAAATTTTCTCCCATTCTCTAGATTGCCTATTCACCCTAATGGTAGTTTCTTTTGCTGTGCAGAAGCTTTTTAATTAGATCCCATTTGTCAATTTTCATTTTTGTTGCAATTATTTTTGGTGTTTTCATCATGAAATCTTTGCCCATGCCTATGCCCTGAATGGCATTGCCTAGATTTTCTTCTAGGGCTTTTATGGTTTTGGGGTTTACATTTCAGTCTTTAATCCATCTTGAGTTAATTTTTGTATAAAGTATAAGGAAGGTGTCCAGTTTGTTTTCTGTATATGGCCAGCCAGTTTTCTCAGCACCAATCAGTAAATAGGGAATCTTTTCCCCATCGCTTGTTTTTGTCTGGCTTGTTGAAGATTAGATGGTTGTAGATGTGCGGTGTTATTTGAGGTCTCTGTTCTGTTCCATTGGTTTATTTATCCATTTTGGTTACTGTAGCCTTTTCGTATAGTTTGAAGTCAGGTAGCATGATGCCTCCAGCTTTATTCTTTTTGGTTAGGACTGTCTTGGCTATACAGGCTCTTTTTTGGTTCCATATAAAATTTAAAGTAGTTTTTAAAAATTCTGTGAAGAATGTTGATAGTAGTTTGATGCGAATAGCGTTGCATCTATACTACTACTTTGGGCAGTATAGCCATTGTCACCATACTGATTCTTCCTATCCATAAGGATGGAATGTTTTTCCATTTGTTTGTGTTCTCTCTTATTTCCTGAAGCAGTGATTTGTAGTTCATCTTGAAGACATCCTTCAATTTCCTAGTTAGCTGCGTTCCTGGGTATTTTATTTTCTTTGTAGCAACTGCGAATGGAAATTCATTCATAATTTGGTTCTCTGCTTATCTATTGCTGGTGTATATGAATGCTTGTGATTTTTGCACGTTGACTGTATCCTGAGATTTTGCTAAAGTTGCTTATCAGCTTAAGGAGTTTTTGGGCTAAGAAATTTTTTTTTTTTAAATATACAATCATGTCATCTGTAAACTGACAATTTTCCTTTGTCTCTTCCTATTTGAATATACTTTATTTCTTGTGCCTGATTGCCCTGGCCAGAACTTCCAATACTATGCTGAATAGGAAAGGGAGTTTTCAAAATGAGAACTCCATGATCCAAAACTACCCTTGAGTGGCTCTTATTGGCCACTGTCCAGCTGGTTATGGCCCGCTTTTAGCTTGCGATAGTGGTGATAGGAGGCTGGAGTAGGGAGTTCCACTGCAGAATGGAGGAACACGTTGAGCCTACTTGAGGCCATTTTCCAAATTTTTAATACTTGCGTGTCTAGAAAGACATTTCAGCATGGCTAAGGACAAATCTTTCTGTAAAGTGGTCCCCATGTACCATTCAATCTTATCTACTTACACTGTTAGCATGGATGTTAATGGCTCACATTAAACTGCCAGGGTTCAAAACTTGCTTCTATCTTGCACTGCTTAATCAAATTTAACCTTATTGCATCTACCGTGTTTCTAAATCTGTAAAATGGGAATAAAAAAACACCTAACTCACAGGGCTCTGGGAGGTTAAATAATACATGCTAATCATGTAGAGACACCAGGCATAGAATTGTATGATATTTGTTTTTATAGTTATCACTGACTAGAAGAATCTAGTCAAAAAAGTGACAGTGCCTTCTTAGATATCAAAATGTGATAGGTTGAACATGCTTGAGATATGGTTACCTGGACATAGGTTTCTAATTAATTATTCACCCTAAAATTAAAATAAAATAGGTGGAATTGTCTCCTAACACAGCCTCAGGTATGTATGGTCAGGGTTTTCCTTGTTTCTGAAACACCCCTGAACCTTTTTTTTTTTTTTGAGATGGAGTCGTGCTCTGTCACCCAGGCTGGAATGTGGTGGCAGGATATTAGCTTACTGCAACCTCCACCTCCCGAGTTCAAGCAATTCTCCTACCTCAGCCTCCTGAGCAGCTAGAATCACCAGTGTCTGCTACCACACCCAGCTAATTTTTTATTTTTAGTAGAGACAAGGTTTCACCATGCTGGCCAGGCTGGTCTCAACCTCCTGATCTCAGGTGATCCACCCACTTCGGTCTCCCAAAGTGCTGGGATTACAGGCGTGAGCCACCATATCCGGCCATACCCCTGAACCTTTTATCAATTGGTATTATCTATTTTTGCAACTACTTGCCTCCTTATTTTATACGTGTTTTAACATCCTGGCTAGATGAAAAGCAAGTTGAGGCCAGAATTTTATCTTTTTCACCACTTTCTTCTCTGTACAGGTGGGACATAGGTAGGAGCTTAGTGTGTATTTATTGAGTGGATAAATAACACAGAGTGAAACAATTCAGAAACTTGAGTATAGTCAATGGACAGGAGCACAATTTTTAAGCCAAAGGGGCTCAGTGACACTTACCCATGTCTTCATTTCCATTGCCTGGTGCAAGAGGATTGTAGTGAGGGAGATGGTGTTGATTGGTGTCCCAAAAGTAAAGACGTCTATATCAGAGCCCTTATAGGTCTGCAGAGGAGGAACAGACAGTCATTATCAGATATGTCTGTGAACTTAAACTGGCTTTGACAACATGATTATAAAGCATCAATGAAGGCAGTTGTCAATGGAGAAGGAGGAGGTACCTAGCTGCTATCCACGTGGTACTGATCCATGGAACAGATCAAGACAAGAAAGGAACTGATAGGACTAATTTAGACATGATATTTGCAAGAGTAAGCCAAGATGGGGATTGTAAAACCATTGTGGAATGAATGAAGAATTCCTGAAAGCCCATCAAACACTATGCTAACAGCTGAGGATACTTCTCTGTTTGCCTACAAAATGAGTTTTGTCTATTAGCAGGGCAGATGTGGGACAATTTAAGGAAGTAAGTGCTATAATAGAGGCAAGTACAAGGTACCCTGGAAACACAGACGAGAGGATAGATTAGCTGAGATCAGAATAAGAGGAGTTAATCACTTGGAAAGAGAGGGTAAATGCAGTTTCAGCAAAGGTCAGAACTAAGGGTGAAAACAAAGGGTTTGTAGAACTCCAAAGAGTCCTACATTGTAGGTCTGTAGCACATACCCAAGGGCAAAAGATAAAGCAGGAAAGCCAAGCAGAGACCTGGCCAGGGAGGGTATTTTAAGCCAGGAAATTCAAGCAAAGCACAAGATCCCTGCCTCCTCTAACTCCGTAATCTTGCTAATTATGAAAGAATATGAACCCAGAGGCTGGATAAGCAACAGTGTTTACCTGGTGGTAACTGTTTCCGATCTTGTTCCCTATGCCCAGAAAGAATATATATATATATATTGCTTGCTACCTAAATTTGCACTATTTAAACAGAGGAATCAAATTGCACTATTTAAACAGAGGAATCAAATTGAGATTGGGCTGGTATCCCTTGCTATCTGCATTCTTGTTATTTTTTTTCAGATAATATAGTATCTCATTATCAGAACTTGCTGCCTGAACACTAGCTTCCTTAATCTTTGAAGCACAAGTCTATATAAAAATCAAGGGTAGTAAATTCAAATACCTTCAGTGTTGAAGTAGGAAACAGTTAATGACAAAAGATGGCCAGGTGTAATAAGACAAATGGGAGAGGTAGAGACTAAAGAATATGCTTAAGTGGTGAGCCCAGCTCAAAGTCAAGTCTAGATTTTTGCTACGAGGAAAAAAAAAAAAGATCCAGTATAAATATAGCTTTCAGTTTTTCAAGTGCCAACAGAAACCAAAATCTTTAGGTAGTGTTTTGACTTTTCATGCACCTTGGGTTGGATGTAGCTTGCAGGTCACTGGTGTGAACCTCTGCTCTAAAGTGTCCACAAAGACACTGCTAGTCTGGAACTTTATATAAAAAGGACCAGTTCCTCTCTGCAATGTATGTGGTTAGAATGGGACTATATGACTTACCAGGTAAGGGATGAAGAAACAGATGAGGCTCTGGTAGAATGCATCCACCATAGAAATCCAGAAAGTTGACAGGTTATAGCACTGCCAGGAGAGAACACACCAATAATTACCACTCTTATAGGAAGCCTCTATTCTTTGCAAGCAACTTTCTTGCAGTGGCTGGGACAGGCAACCATACACTTACTCTTGTATTTGTGGCAATAGAATGGAGTAATTAGGAGCACGGACTTGGGGGTGACAGATTTCAGTTCAACTGTGTAAACTCGTGAAAATTACTAAACTGCTCAGAGAACTAGTTTTTTCTTCCATGAAATGTGGGCAAAAATAATACAGCCTATTTCCTTGGAGTTAAAGAGGACTAAATGCCATTGTGACTTAGTACCTAGTAAGTACTCAGGCCTTAGTGCCTAGCAAGTACCTGGTTATTCATTATCATCACTCTTTGCTGTATTTCTAGTGCTACTACAAACTTGGTAAGTGTAGAGATTGTAAATTTCTAAGTGGCATCTGAAAGAGAGATCCCAATCATAGCCCTGAATCACAGATTCCCAGGAGTTTCTCAAGCTCAACTTCAATCTTTGTGCCTTCCCTGGGAAAAGTGAAACCTTTACCATTTTTGGGTTTTGCTTCATTAACTTCTTTTAGATATATTTGTTATGCAGCCAGCACGTTGATGGGAAAGGTAAACTTAGAACAGACCAAGATGCACATGCCCTCCTACCACATCCCCTTTGTCTGGACTGCTTGGGCTACTATGTTGCTTTCTCCTCTTGTCTTTGGGTTACAACTGGGCTTGCTGCTTGTCTATAAATAATTGCCAGCTTTAAAACACCACATTTGGCTTTGCCCTCCTTTCCTCCAGGTGCAAAGATACTCTGGCATTGCAAAGTCCCTCTTCCCAGAGCTCCCTTTTCAAGACATTCAGGGTCCCTTGATTCAGCTTCTTGCTGGTGCTGGGAGTGCCTGCTGTCTGACTTCTCTAAATCATTCAGTGCTGCAGTGTGGCCTCTCTGGGCCTTCTAGGAAGCCACCAGATGGCTTCTCAGGCCCGCCTTAGTCTATTTGATACCAGCAAGTCCTAAAACACATGTAATTTTGGGTTCTAAGTTTTGCCTTCCCTAACAGGAAAGAGAAGCATTTGTACACCTTACCCAGTGAAAAGCAAAGTAGCTGTAAATCCCAAGGATTCCCAGACTGGGCTTTAGGGGTTCTCTCACTGTATCTCAGATCCTGGAGGGGTCTGCTGAAAGGGATAGATCTTTCCGCATGCCTCTTCCCCTTCCACTAGGGCAGTTCAATATTAATGTGTGATTTAGTTAAGAAATAATTAAAATATCCACTAGTCTGGTCTAAAACCTTCAATAGCAAATGGGAAATAGGTCAGAAAGGGAGAGAGGGGTTACTCAAAGTGACGGAACAGTGGTCAGAATGCAGGCTTCTGACCCCAGCATACAGCTCTTCCTCTGATGCCTCCATGGGGAAGGAAGAAGTCAGTAAGAACCTGAAGTCACCACCCTTGGTGGAGGGTTCCCCTTACCTCAGAGTTCTGGCCACTCTTGTATAGCTCAGGTAATGCCAGGAGTGTTTCTGCGGAGATGTCTTTGTCTAGGACTCCAAAGACGAGAGGAGGCAAGGAGGTAAAGAAGAGATTGAAGAATATCATCTGCCAGTAATCGATCATGGTGGAGCCGGAGAAACCACAGAAGAACTGATACCAGAAGAGCAGGTTGACGTAGCACTGCAGGCAAGGAGCATGGCCTTATGAGTCAGACCCCGTGTGTACCCGGTCAGCAGCTGCTGCCTGGGAGCTCTGGGAACTACTGGAGTGGCAGTTTCCTCATTCCTCATGCAAGGTTATGTAAGGATTAGAGATAATTCTAATTCTTGGAGCAGTACCTGCTGCTGTTACTACCACCACTGCTAACATTCTTTAGGACCTGAAGGAAACTCCACCAACTTGTTTAAGGTGAGTGAACGGTAAGTCTTCATTTAACATTGCCAATAAGTTCTTAGAAACTACAACTTCAAGCAAAATACTGTAGGGAAAGTTCTGGAATAACATTGTTTCATTCAACATCACAGTTTCTAAGAACCTGTTGATGACACTAAGTGAGGACTTACTGTACTATGGTGGTTAAAAGCACAGATTTTGGAGGCAGAGAGGCCTCATTTTGAATCCCCAGTCTGTCACTTACTAGCTGTGTGACCTTAGTCAAACTGCTTAACCTTTCTAAACATTTTATCACCTGTCAGCTGGGAATAGTAGTACTTAGAACATGGCATGTGAAATATGAATGGTGGTAACGTGATAATAGAAAGGGATGCCACTGACGAAGGGGTAATAGAAAGATTGAACCATGAGCAGGACACCAGGTAGGAGGATGACCTCGTGAGAACGTTGACTTCACTATACTTTCCTAATGGTCATGCAGCTCAGAAGGGTGAATGGGAAAATCTGCCAAAACGTTGTTCATTTTTTTCTAAAGCTTTTTTCCCACTCAAGATCTCCTCTCTTGTGGATTGGCTGGGTCACTGTTACTGTCTACCATTCTGCGATATGGTTTGGTGATTTGACCAAGGTCATACATATAAGCAGCTGGTCCTGCAGTTAGGACTAGAACTTCTCAATTATGTGGGGGCAGAGGCACAGAAATGTGAAGGGTCTTGCAAGGAATCATCTGGCAGTTTTTTGTTCAAGCTGGAACTCCTATTTTTAAACTGCCGGGTCAATGTTATTTTGGAGGGGCTATTAGTAGTAGTAACATCAGTTATAAAATTTGACCTTCTATATGCGCCAGGAGTGAGATAAACCTCAGTATATTAGCATCTAGTATATCACTGGATGTACAATACACATGATAGTTTGTTCTAACAACCTTGCAAGATTAATATTGCTGAGCTGATCGTAATAGCACTATATATTGTACTAATATATCACATGTTGATATTAACAATAATATTAACATTAGGCCCATTTTACAGATGAAGAATGCAAGACTCTGAGATACCGTTGCCCCTTGCCCAAATTCAGTTAGAGAGTGGTACAATCAGCATCTGAAATTTCAAAGTTCGTTCCCTTTAACCACCTCTAAACTTTCTCAGTCCTGTCTTTGACTTACACAATTAGACTCTTCTAGACGTGTACAGCTTGCAAAGCTGGAAGTATTTATTGTCTAGCTCTTTGAAGAAAAAGCTTCCTGAGCCCAGATGTAGACAGGAAGCCTCCCGCAGGCCATGACTGGCTTGATTCCTGCTCTATGACCATTGCTCAGCCCTGTTCCTGACACACAGCAGACATTCAATTGCTGTTTCAATTGCTGTAGTTAATCTTAGCTCCATTCTAACACTCATCCTGGAGTTTTAACATTACAGAGTGCTTCTTTCCTCCTGAGGCCCTGGTAAGATCTTGTTTTTCACTTCTGCTTAACCGGAATCTTTGTACCTTGCAGGGAGTGCATCGAACCCTGTGGCAGCATCGCTGAGATTGGACGCCTGCTCTTTCTATCAAGAAGCTACAGTGCAGTAATTAATTCATTGTTGAAATTTCAGAGCAGGCCAGGTTTTAATCCCCTCTGAAATTGGTTTCGGATGTGGAAGTCATAGTTCTCTACCTTCTAATTACAACAGGGAGATAATGTGGCATCAGTATCGCAATTTTGAGCATGACATTGGGCTGGGAATAAATATCATTTAAGCTTTGAAAGCGTGGCTGGTTGGAAACATTTTCTTTTCTATTTCACAAATTTAATGCAGAGAAGAGGCTGTGCTTATTCAAAAGAATTATTCCTTGAGCTGCCAAAAAAAATTAAATGGGGGCATTTTGAATTCTAAGTAAACAGTCTTTCACTCTCAAAGTGAGTTTCAAGTCAGATGGAGTGACTTGTTTGTGTAGACTTGCTGAGATAATATTGCCATCGAGTTGATTGAATTTACATTACTTTTGTCATGCTGTTTATTTACATATACATTGAACTTTGCACAGAAAGTCACTTCTGAGCAAAAGTGACTGTCAGAGTCTGAAAAAAAGACTGGGGCAAGAGAAAAATGCAATTTTGTAGCTGCTACCTGGCTAATGTTTCTCTTCCATCACCCTAGTCTGAATACTCTCCTTTTACTTATTCAAGGAGGAGTCAAATTCTGTTTGGAGGATCTTGGGGTTTATTCTAAGCCTTTGAACTAGATAACAAAAACTCAGTCTTTTGTTCCCTCCCTTAGTATAACAATGTTCTGACTTTTTCCTATACCTGCTGTTAATAAAGGACTTTTCAAACAAGAACCCTCTGATAGTTTTAATTCTTCAGTTGGCATGTTTGCTTTGGGCCCTCATCAACAAGACAGAAACCAACATACTTGTTAGTATAGTACTACTTCCAGTGACGCGGGATGCATGGGTCACGGCTACAGAAGCGCGTCATATGACGCACATCCAGTCTGCAGCTGCAGCGCCCCACATCACCAGAAGCAGTGTGAAATAACAGCAGAAGTAGGAAGAAAGGCAAAGCACTATAACCATTACTACACAGTACAATGGCCCCCATACTCCCCCAAATGTACAACAACATAATGGCCCCTATAACCTCCCTTTGCCCAAAAGTCTCCCCCCACATTACTACACACCGTGTTTCCCCTATTATAAGACCCTGTCTTATATTAATTTTACCCCCAAAAGACGGGGGCTATCTTATTTTTAAGAGGTGTCTTATAATAGGTGAAACATGCAGCAGTGGGCTTCCCACAGAAGAGGCCCACCACTGCTGCAGATGTCCAGGATGCTGCATACACAGTGTCACAGGCTGATCACCGCCATCCCTGTATACAGCACTGGAGGCGGTGCTGGGCCTGTGACACTGTATACCACTGTCTGGGATAGTGGAGGCAGCAGCGCTGGATGTGAAGGGTGTCACACCTTGCATAGTCCGGCCCTCCAACGGTCTGAGGGACAGTGAACTGGGCCCCTGTGTAAAAAGTTTGGGGACCCCTGGTATATAGGGCTATATGCTTTTCAGAGCTCTGACACTAAGGCCTCTTGACACAGAGTCAGTCTACCCATATTATTGATGAAAAGATCAATTAATCTCTGTATGCCTCAGTTTCTTCAAGGTCATATGGCATGCTGGAGTCCAGTAAGATTGCCCAGACAATCTCTGCACCTCAAATATCTTTGCCAAGTAGATATTTTATTTAGCATCCTGCCCTCCAGGAACTCCCTGAAAGAAAGCTCAGGGGTACTGAAGTGATGTGCAGGTCTCAAGTTGGAGCCATGGGCTCCAGCCTTACATTCTGTGAGGGGCTCTTCACCTTCACTCTCCCAAGGCATGAGGTATATAGCTCTGGCACTGAGCTGGCTCTACACAGAGAGGAACGCTAAGACACAGGTCAGACTAGCTCTTCAAATCCTTCGTTACAATAAGATAATCTCATTTATGAGATTTAACTCCAAGAGTAATGACAGCAACAAATATAACCCAAAATGGCTAATTTTATAGATGATTATGATAGGCTGATCACTTTATATACAAGCTCTCATTTAATCCTCCTAGCAAATATGAAAAAGATGCTATCACCACCCCCATTTTACAGATGGTGAAATGGAAATTTAGCGACATTACTATACGTGGGAGTCTGGATTTGAACCCAACGTGTCTGACTCCAGAGTCCACACTTGCAGCCATTTGTGCCCTCTCTGTGCCAGGTGATTTTCATATAGCATTGCCAATTCTCACAATAACTTCACAAAAATAGAAAGTGAAGTGTCTAGCTCGAGGTCACAGAGCTATTAAGGAACAGTTTCAAGATCCAACACCATGCCAGCCTGACTCATTCCCTTATGATGTTGAGGTGCTTTGCCCACTGCTAGGGGGAGATCTGGCCCCATGGCAAAGACTGCCAAGGTCTGGGTGGGAGGATGCCATAGGCTACTCACCACGTTTTTGTAGAGGTAGTATACCACCATCCTGGCCAGGCGCGAGTAACACCAGTGGCCGTGCACAAGCAGCAGCTTCTTGAGGTGCTTAAAGCGGGCTATGGCAAAGTCGCTGGACATGACGGCCTGAGAGGGGAAAGAAGATATATCATCTTCCATCCATGGCTGCCGTTGCCCCAGAGGGACTCTCTTAAGGGCGCTGCTTTGGTCTAGGCCTGGGGCCAACAGAGTCCTAAAGACCCCTTGTTGTGGTCCCTCTTGGGTAGCTTTTTAGAGTCTGACACCCCACCCTCCCTTCTGGGAAATCCAAATCTCACTAGAATTCAAGGATGGCAGATCAGAAGGGTCTAGGCAGGGCTCTTCACTCATTTATCCAATAAGCATTTACTGTGGCCCAGTATGTGTCAGGCACCATGCTAGGCATGTGATGGTTAGCCAGAGAGTAGGGGCTTCCATTCAAGTAATTTTCAATCCTCTGAACACCCTTCACCCCCACTTGAGGCAGGCTATTGGCTCCATTCACAGATGGAGCTGATAGGTGACAGCTCTTCCTTCACATGGAGCTGAAATATGTCTTCTGCCCCTGGGATTACTCAGAACAAGACACAGTTTATAGCACTCTTTTAAAAATGTGAACACTGAACATGCCTGTTTATAAATCCTGGTATAAATTTTGGTTTGGCTAATTCCCCGGGCCTCAGTTTCCCTATCTAAAAATGGAATAGCAATCCCTAAGATACAGGGTGTAATGATGATTAAAATTCAATGAGATACCAAATGTGAATTGTCTAACAGAAACTTGTGCAACCTGCAGGCCACATGTGGCCCAGATGGCTTTGAATGAGGCCCCAAATTGAGACTTTTTGCAATTTTTTTAAAGCTCACCAGCTATAGTTAGTATTAGTGTGTTTTATGTGTAGCCCAATACAATTCTTCTTCCAATGTGGCCCAGGGAAACCAAAAGGTTGGATAGCTCTGGTCTAACACATTGCTGGCGTATAGGAGATATTCAAGGGGTAACATTTCAGAACTATTCTGTGGCTTCACAGTCAATGCTCTCTATCCTCATCAGAAAATTTAGGCAGTGCTGAATGTCTACACTGGTGGTGGAAATACAATTGTTAATGGCTGAAAACCCACAAAATGTTCTCTGTTTTAATGGCAAAATTTAGCAGTCAAGTTAGTATGCTTCTTCCAAGCTGAATTTTGACTAAATTTTGACACTATGAAAGTATACCAAGCAGTTTGTGGGTCAAACTGGCTGTCAGGACAAAAATGTCATTTACAAAATGATTTCAGATTTCCTTCTGTCTGTCATTACTTAGGGAGGGCATTGCAACTTTGGATGTGGGGAGAAGTTCTCAGGGAGAAGTTTCTCCAACATTCTGGAGAATTCCTTATATCTCAACTAAGGACCAAAGAAAGGAAGGAAGAAACAAGAACAGTTACAGAGAACAATACCTGCATGCCTTCCTGTCCAGATATTCCAATTCCAATATCAGCAGCTTGAATCATGCTTACGTCATTTGCTCCATCACCTGAAAGAAGAGAGGTCATGAGGTGTCTTTATTTCTGGTAAAACTACTCAGTGACAATGAGGTAGCTCTCAAGTGTCCCCAGTTATGTTTAACTGGATCCTTTTAACATTGAATAGTTCTATAGAAAGTCATTGCTGTAGTACTAGCTTGGGAGACGTCTTTTTTTCTTTAGACAAGAAATCCTACCTTTTTCTTTACCATTCAACAAATATAGGACTTACTAAGTGTCTTTTTTCTAGGCACAACATTAGGTATTGGGGATAGAATGGTAATCAAGAGACTTGGGCATTTCCCCCCCAAAAAATGCCCTCATAAATGTTATAATAAACTTTACTGATAACCAAATGGAGAATCTGAGCAACTTAGAAACTTGGCAAGGGTAATCCAGCCAGAGAAAGGACCCAGGAGAAATGGAACTTGATCCTTCAGATTCCAGGGCCAATGCACTTCCCTCAGTCAAACTTGAAATACTGACCATATCAAGACAACTGGACACTTTGGACAGTGAAATTATCAGATTGTCAATGGTTTCCAAGGAGAGGGATGACATTCTGTTTTGTTTCTCAGTATACAAAAATGAGATTGACTTGTGTTTTTGAAATACAATCACACTGAGTTCCCATTCAACGAACTGAGTTGTTTCATAAAACTGGAGGTAAGGCATAGAAACACACACACACAAACCCACACACACACATATACACACACAGTTGTATTCAATACCAAGACTGCTCAAGATCTTTTGGTGATGAAATGTTCTATATCTGCACTGTCCAATACAGCAACCAGTAGCCACTTGTGACTATAAAAATTTTGCTGGTGAATTTGATTAAATTTAAGTAGCCAAAGATAGCTCTATACAGTAAGGCCTTCCTCAGAAGCTGAACTCTCCCCAGTGCTTTATCTTTTAGGTGGAAGTTCAAGCAAACTTTTTCTGTAAAGGGTAAGGGGGTAACTATTTCAGGCTTTGTGAGCCAAGAAGCAAAACTGAACAACTGTTCTTGTTGAAAGGCTATTAGTCTTTCATAAATTTTACACTGAAAAATAAATCATTCCTAATATCCATACAAAAACATGCCATGGGTTGGATTTAGCTTGCAGGCCATAGTTTGCCAACCCTTGTTGTAGACTATGTAGAACTTGATTATTTTCCTGGCCCTACTTGTTTTCTAGTAGTTTCTCAGAATAAGCCACAATTAAATTTATATTATTATGGTATAGAATATGGAATGAGAGGGAGAGAATGATTCTTCTCCTAGTTATATGGTGATACATTTATTGGTCTTAAAAATTTTGCCGTAAGTAGCCTTCATTCTAAAATAATTATTTTTTTTCTTGATTGCATAGCAATGCATAATTTTAATCATCCCCATGGCAGAACAAATCCAAGCTTTAACCTCTTCTGTTAGTGAACCAGGAGAATTAGAGGTGTGAAACCATGCTATTTCTCGCCACACTGGCTTTTTTTCTGCTGCTGTGGGAGTGAAGCCAATATCTGACCTCAGAGAATCATTCTTGGGCTACTACCTTGTGTGTGTCTGAATTTCTGAAGAGGATGATTCCGGGCATAAAAGTAGGATGTCTTTGCTAAAGGTTTGCTCTCTGCTTTCTTTCTGTCCCACTCTTGTTATTATTCTCTACTGTTCTTACCTGAAGACCAGGAACAAAACCATCATGTTTAATAGGGTTCCTATTTGAAATGTCAGAAAAGAAAATCTTTTCCCATGCCTGTGTAGGAGGAGAGGCTGGCAGCATCTGTAAGAATGTCCCTAAGTGAATGCAATATTTACTATGTGCTTGGTATGTGCTGAGCATGGGATCCAACAGTGAATTAGGCTGACATGATTTTTCTACTCAAGGAACTCACGGTCTACTGAGGCCATCACAGAAGGTATGACAGTGAGCTATGAATACTGGGTGCTGTGGGAACCCCCAGAGGAAAGCAAAGTTAGGTGGGATTGGAAGAAGTGTTTTACAGAGGAAATAACTTGTGCAAAGTCCCAGAAGTGAGAGAGGACAAGGTCCATGGAGAATGGTAAACAGTTTCATTTGCTGGAATATGGAAAGGCAAATGTTGGAGAGGGAAAGGTGGCCACAACAAGAGATGTGGCTGAAGGTAACAGAAGATCATGAAGATTCCTTTAAACCGGGTTTGGTTGTTCCTGAAAGATGTTAAGTAAGTGCAGTTTTAATTTCTCTGTCCTAACATGATTAAAGTTTAGTCCCCTCTGAAAAATTCTTCATCAACCAATGCTAGCATCAACCAATGCTAGCAACCAATGCTAGCATCTAGCTATATGCTTTGTGCTGGCCTCATATTTAGAAATAAACACACAAAATTAAACATAAGAGAGTACCAATCTTTAAAATCTCTCCACCAGCCAACAACACTCAGAATAATATCAAATCCTTAAATACGTGATGTTGTGCCATGTATAAAGTTTTAAAGGGAAAATGATCTGCATCCCAGAATTAAGATAGTCTGAGTATACATCATTGATGGCAACATTTCTTGATCTATCTGGTTGTACTGAATTCAAGGCCTCTGTTGGTTTTGAGCTTCATCTAAGTCCTCATTGTTCTTTAGCTAACTTGCTAGTCCCAAGAACTTGGTTGCATGGTCCCATTTCATCCCCCAGCTGCTGCATCTCGATTGTCATTTTGAACTCTCTCCCTCTAAGAGGACGACTCACAGCCTAAGCATTCTGACTTGAGACCTGACCTCCCACCTCTGATCCAGCCTCTCATCAGATCTTCCCTGCCAAGGTGCCACCCGTATCTCAGCATGATGGGTACCTATGGAAAGGGTCATGACGCGCAACTTGTCTCGCACCAGCTTCACTATCATACTCTTCTGGAGTGGTGTGGAGCGGCAGCACAGTACAGACCGACAATACTGGGTCAACTCCAGAAACTTCTTCTCCAGCTTTCCCTGGAAAATGGCATTCAATGTCTTCCCGTCAATGACCAATCCAGCTTCTGGGACCACAGCTTCTGAGGTGATAGGTGGTGTCTTGGAAGGTAAGCAGAACCCAAAGAGCTTGCGGTCTGGCTTCTGTAGTTCGTGAAATTGCTTTAGCTCTTCCAGTGCACAATTGAGGATGGATTCACAGGTCTCCTATAAAGAGTAACAATAATATGGTATACGTAAGCAAACTTGGAAATGCATGTTAACAATTTCACTTTAGTAAGATAGTCATAAAACTCTACTACAGAGATTACTTACAGGTTGTTCTCCAATTTTCACATTTCTCTGCAGTATTTGACATAATACCAAAGCAATATTAATTTGGAACCAAATTAACAGCCAAAATGGAAGACATTGCTTATGAATGGGAGTAAAAATAGCTGAGCGAGATGGAGACAGATACAAGGATGGCATAATAAATACTGCTAATATGATGGTAAATAATGACAATATGTCATGTTGGTATGGTGCTGTTTCTCCATACTTAAACAAAAGGAACTTAATTTCCCTTTTGTTCCTCAGAACATTCCTGTGTGGTAGATAGGGTGTGTACTAGTGATCTTAGTTTAGAGATGAGGAGATTGAAATAAGATCTTTAGTAACTCACCCAAGATCATCCAAACTTAGTAGTGGAGTCAGGATTATTACTAGTTAAACTGTGGCTTCCTAATTCCGTCTGGGAATCCATTGTTGTGTTCCATGAAGAGTGCTAAGAACTGTGGCATGAAGCATTGATCATATTGGTTTGAACTATGTTTATGAAAGTCTTATTGATTGAAATAAACTTTTTTTGGGGGTTTTCTAAATATACAATAATGTCATCTGCAAACAGGGACAATTTAATGCCCTCTCTTCCTATTCAAATATCTTTTACTTCTTTCTCTTGCCTGATAGCCGTAGCCAGAACTTCCAATTCTATGCTGAATAGGAGTGGTGAGAAAGGGCATTCTTGTCTTGTGCCAGTTTTCAAAGGGAATGATTCCAGTTTTTGCATATTCAGTATGATGTCGGCTGTGGGTTTGTCACAAATAACTCTTATTATTTTGAGATACAATCCATCGATGCCTAGTTTATTGAGAGTTTTTAGCATAAAGGGCTGTTGAATTTTGTCAAAGGCCCTCTCTGTACTATTGAGATAATTGTGTAGTTTTGGTCTCTGGTTCTGTTTATGTGATGGATTACATTTACAGATTTGTGGATGTTAAACCAGCCTTGAATCCCTGAGATGAACCTGACCTGATCGTGATGGATAAGGTTTTTGATGTGCTATTGGATGTGGTTTGCCAGTATTTTATTGAAGATTTTTGCATCAATATTCATCATGGATATTGGTCTGAAATTTTCTTTTTTAGTTGCGTCTCTGACAGGTTTTAGTATCAGGATGATGTTGGTCTCATAAAATGAGTTAGGGAGGATTTCCTCTTTTGGTATTGTTTGGAATAGTTTCAGAAGGAATGGCATCAGTTCCTTTTGTACCTCTGGTAGATTTCAGCTGTGAACCCAACTGGTTCTGGACTTTTTTTGGTTGGTAGGCTATTAATTGCTGTCTTAACTTCAGACCTTGTTATTGGTCTATTCAGGGTTTCAATTTCTTCCTGGTTTAGTCTTGGGATGGTGTAAGTGTCCAGGAATTTATCCATTTCTTCCAGATTTACTTGTTTATCTGCATAGGGGTGTTTGTAGTAATCTCTGATGGTAGTTTGTATTTCTGTGGGATTGGTGGTGATACTCCCTTTATCATTTTTTATTGAGTGTATTTGAATCTTCTCTCTTTTCTTTTTCATTAGTCTGGCTAGTGGTTAATCTATTTTGTCAATCTTTTCAAAAACCCAACTCCTGGATCTGTTGATTTTTTGAAGGTTTTTTTTGTGTCTCTATCTACTTTAATTCTGCTCTGATCTGAGGTATTTCTTGTCTTCTGCTAGCTTTTGAGTTTGTTTGATCTTGTTCCTCTAGTTCTTTTAATTGTGACATTAGGGTGTCGATTTTAGGTCTTTCCTCACTTCTCATATGGGCATTTAGTGCTATAAATTTCGCTCTAGACACTGCTTCAAATGTGTCCCAGAGATTCTTGCACATTGTGTCTTCGTTCTTATTGGTTTCAAAGAATATCTTTATTGCTGCCTTCATTTCATTATCTATCCAGTAGTTATTTAGGAATAGGTTGTTTAGTTTCCATGTAGTTGTGTGGTTTTGAGTGAGTTACTTAATCCTGAGTTCTAATTTGATTGCACTGTGGTCTGAGAGACCGTTTAATTTCTGTTCTTTTGCATTTGCTGAGGAGTGTTTTACTTCCAATTATGTGAATAATTTTGAAATAAGTGTGATGAGGTACTGAGAAGAACTTGTATTTTGTGGTTTTGGGGTGAAGAATTCTGTAGATGTCTATTAGGTCTGCTTGGTCCAGATCTGAGTTCAAGTTCTGGATATCCTTGTTAATTTTCTGTCTTATTGATCTGTCGAGTATTGACAGTGGGGTGTTAAAGTCTCCAACTATTATTGTGTGGGAGTCTAAATCTCTTTGAAGGTCATTAACAACTTGCTTTATGTATCTGTGTGCTCCTGTGTTGGGTGCATATATATTTAGGATAGTTAGCTCTTCTTGTTGCATTAATCCCTTTACCATTATGTACTGTCTTTATTTGTCTCTTTTGATCTTTGTTGGTTTAAAGCCTGTTTTATCAGAGACTAGGAATACAACCCCTGCTCTTTTTTGCTCTCCATTTGCTTGGCAAATCTTCCTCCATACCTTTATTTTGAGCCTATGTGTGTCTTTGCATGTGAGATGGGTTTCCTGAATACAGCACACTGATGGGTCTTGACTCTTTATCCAATTTGCCAGTCTGTGTCTTTTTTTGGGGCACTTAGCTCATTTACATTTAAGGTTAATATTGTTATGTATGAATTTGATTCTGCCATTTTGATGCTAGCTGTTTGTTTTGCCTGTTAGTTGACGCAGTTTCTTCATAGTGTTGATGGTCTTTACAGTTTGGTATGTTTTTGCAGTGGTTGGTACTGGTTGTTCCTTTCCATGTTTAGTGCTTCCTTCAGGAGCCCCTGTAGGGCAGGCCTGGTGTTGATGAAATCTCTCAGCAGTTGCTTGTCCATAAAGGATTTTATTTCTTTTTCGCTTATGAAGCTTAGGTTGAAAGTTCTTTTCTTTTAGGATGTTGAATATTGGCCCCCACTCTCTTCTGGCTTTTAGGGTTTCTGCTAAGAGATCCACTGTGAGTCTGATGGGCTTCCCTTTTAAAATTCCTTGACTGATGAACACTTCCAGTGATTAGTTAGTAATTCTCTCATCTTTGGGAAGGGAATTCTGAGGTCTAGGTAGATCCCATAACTTGCTTAGTGCTTTAACACACCTAGCAAAGAGATAGTAATCCTAAATCGATTCATAGGGAATTAGGCAAATTAAAAACCTTGGAGGAAATATTTACTGAATATGTAACTACATTAAACTAGGGTTTAAATAAATCTAAGATTTAGAATGTATTTCCCCAGTTTCTGGCTTAACATATATATATATTTTTTTCATCCCAGGTAAAGCGATAAAAAGACTAATCTTACAGGTTTAGTGAGCTGAAGCGTGTAGGCATGGCTGAGGATTCAGGCACTATCCTGGAGGATACTGGACAGAAAGAATTGTCATGGACTGGATTAAAGGTGGAGTATGGCTGACTGTTCCTTAGGAGTTTTGGCTATTTAACCAAGGAGCATATCTTCAACTTCCTACAGGAATGCATGGCATTTAGCAGAACACATGGTACTTCACTCAATCTCCCTCTGGCTGGCTGCCTCATTGGTTTGCAGATGTTCTCCTTCTAGCATTACCTGGAGTGAAAGAATCATTGCAAACTGAATTTCCATTACAAGCAGGACAGGCAGGCACGGGGATCAAGCACTCAAGCAAGCTGAAAATTACTTTTCTTCCTAAGCATAATATTAAAGCCAAGTTTTCCCTGAGCTTATTTTCATTTTGAAAATTCATTAAGGTTTAATCTAATAATCTGTGCACCTGACAGGAAAGTAAATGATTTTTCCAATTCATCTAAAGGTCCTCTGGCAGTTTTCACAATCTATACTAGTTTTATTTATTTATTTTTTTAAAGAGGTGTATATTGTTGCTTCATGGAATAAAAGTGAAACAGAAACCTCCCCAACATTTTACTGTGGGTCTACATCAACCTCAGGCAAAACTTAAAGAGCTTAGTGTCCTCTCTCCCTCCTTTCCTTTTTCTGTCTTCTTCCCTTTTCTCCATTCTTTTCTCCATGGTATCCTAGGTGCAGGTGCCCTAGGGGCCTATGCCCACACCTCTGCAGTACAGTGCTCTTCTGGTTAATATCCACCATGGAATCTAATCCCTGCTTGCTTCTGATAGGAGCACACATCTCAATGCCCGCCTCCCACCTTCATCAGCCAAGAAGATGTGATGGAACTTTGCCTTCTGCAATTTGCATTGTGAAAACAGATAACTTCCCCCTAAAATCAAAATTGTGTTATAGCTTTGAATATGCCTCTTTAACTTTCCCATTCTTCTCTCTAAACCTCACTCCCTGCCACCCATATAATCTATTCTGGTTGAAACATGCAATTTTTAGAACTTTGCTTCATTCTTTCTTTTTCTTATGCCATAAACACATACTGGCTTCATGTATTATTCCTTTCAGGTTTTTACTCCGTGGCAGACCAGCTTGACATATAAATTGATGTTGAAATTTTAAGCTCAGAATAATTTCAATTTAATTGGGACTTTTTCAGTGGATAAGTTAGTCTTAAACAGAAAGAAACTGACAGTTGAGTTTCCATAAGCAAACAGTGTGGCAGAATGTAAATCACACTAGCTCAGCAGGAGAACAGAGTTCTAGACTTAGTTGTACTTATCGGAAACAAGCAGGGTAAACCCGAGCAAGTGACTCAGTCCCAGTAGTCTTCAGTTACCTTATCTGTGGGGAAATGGGGAGACTGGACCACGGTGGAATCTGGGAGAGGTTAAGCGCTCTAATAATCAGTGCCAGAAGTAATGTAAAAGAGACCAGCCAGCCACCCTTTATGTGTGAGGGTGAAATAAAGGATATTGAGCTGGATGACTTCCAGGATCCTCCAGACTCCAAGATTCAGTGATCTGTTGGGGGTTGGGTGCTTCCCTGGTGCACCCAAATCCCACCTACAAGCCTGCATCCTCTTGGCTGAGGGCTGCTCTGCACTTTAATATCTGTAGATACAGAGAATCGCCTCACCTGATTCTCTGTATTGATGGAGTACACAGTGTCGGTCTGATCTAACAGTCTGCAGGAATGGGCGATGTTGACTGCTGTCTCCTGCTTATCTCCAGTCAAGACCCAGAGCTGGATCCCAGCCTCCCGCAGAGCGGCAATTGTATCTGGAACTCCTTCCTGCAGCCGGTCTTCGATGCCAGTGGCTCCTGGAGTGAACAAAGACAACGGAGTTCACATTTATGGTAAAAGAGTAGTTGTTTAATTTCCCCAAAGCCCTGTGAAGCCAGGCAACACTTATAAGATAGCATCGCTGTGCTAGGCTGTGCATCCATGATATGACAGTGAACTGGATACAGCTGGTCTCTTCCTCTGAGTTCAAAGGTCATTGAATAAGAATTTATAACTGAGCTATATAATGAGAGAAATTCAGGGTACCATGTGAATATATACCAGGAAATCTGAACTTCACCTGGCAAATCAGGGTGGGCTTTGCTGAGGAAGTGCTACTTAAACTCAGACCTGGGAGATAATGCAAAGAGGTGCAGAGGAGGAAAATTCCAGGTAGAAGGATCAGCATGTGTGAAGTCTCAGAGGTTAGAGTTGAGGAAGATACAGAAATGGAGACAGAGCAAGGTGAGAGATGAGGATGGAGAAGGAGCTCGGGGGTGCTGGATTGTGCAGATCCTTGTCAGGGCCTTATGGGGTTTGTAATTTATTTGGTAGCAAAGAAAGCTATTCCAGGGTGTGATGCTGGGGAGTGACATAATCAGTTTTGACTTTTAAGAATATCATTCTAGAGAACAGGTTAGAGATTGGAAAAGTGGGATGAGATTCAGTGCTGAAAGCTACTGAGGAGGCCAGGCAGGAGTGTAGAGGAGAGGTAACAGTGGCCTGGACTGGCCTAGCAGCAATAGGAATAGCAATGGAAAGGCTGAAATCTTTGCCCTGCAACTGATCAATGCAGAATTAATAGAACTGACATTTTTGAGAATATTCTTGGAGGGAATTAAACAGGCAGATTCCATAATTTTTGAAGGCTCTCAAGCTTTGCACCAGCCCTGATGAATATATACCCAAATATTGAATAGCTGCTAAGTGATTAAGCAAAAATAAATCTGCTTTTCAATTGAGATTCATTTCAGATCACAGACTAATGGCTACCCATTTCACTCTGGGCAGGAGCACGGCATTTTGTTTCTTTTAATAATCCAGAGTGACAATAGGTTGGCAAAGCGGTTACACTAGATGCATACTGAAAAGATCATTTCATATTTTGAGACTGTGTGAAGGCATTACAGCTTTTTAGTGTTGTGCCAGTTTCTTGGTGGAAAGCTGAATTCTCTTCATAGCCCAGTCCTCTCCTTTCCAAGCTGTCTTGAGGGGAGATAAAGAACCCCACTTTCCGGAAATGTGCCTGTTTTTTGTACCTGAGGTTCCACATGCGCAGGTAAACAACCCCATAAAAAATGATGGCTCAAGCCTCATCTTCCCCTTCAAGCATTAGTCTGGAAGGTGAGAGGAAGCTGATTTATATTACGTGAGCTGGAGTGAAGGAGAGAGGAGGAAAAACACATTTATTTGTGTGAAAGAGAAAATGAAACAGGAAGGTTGTGAAAACCTTTTCCAGCTAGGGGAAGCTGGCAGGTTCTGACAAGTATGTTCTCTTCACACAGAAGAACTAGAGGCACATCTCTCACAGACTGAGCCTAGAGTGCTGTCCTGAAACAAAAGAAACCTCAGGGAGGGGAGAAGGGGATCAGGTGCCTGAATGGGATGACTTTTTAGTGGCATCTTGTATTAAATACAGTTGTATGGTCCAGCCATCCTTTGGTTCTTGTTCAAGTGAGTTCTTGGGTTTAGCTTTAAAGGGGGCCTTATGAGGCAGCAAGCAGGGGCCTCTGCAGCTGACACAGGAAACCAAAGGCTGAAGGATGTGGGAAGCTAATGCGTATGCTAATCCTGCTCCCCCTCCTCAGCTTGTCAGTCATCCTACTTGCCAGCATCACCAATTTACAGTGACCCTGGATCTTTCCCCTTGAACTCCTGTCTGGCTGGGCAGCTGGAGGCATGTGACTCATCCAGAGGAGAAGACAAGTCTCAGAGGAGTGTGTCTCTGGGCACACAGCAAGGTCATGACAGGTCTAGAACTTGGTCCTCATCCCCAGGTCAGCATTGTCCACCAAGAATAAAGAAGGCTTTTTGCCATGTGGTCAGTGCACGCTGTTTGGGCATTGCTTACCAAGATTTTGCTCCCGGGATGTGAGGACCTTAATCCTGATCAATAAAGCTCCCCCTTGCTTCTTGGCAATGCTTTTCCTCCAACAGAAGCACAGACTGTCTCTTAACCAGTGTCTGTGCTTCTCATCTATCCCTGAGTGCAGCAATCTAACTTTCATGCTGCAGCAATCAAAGCAGTTTTTGTAAAGCACAGATCTGTCCCTGCTTTCACCCTCTGCCTTCTCCAAACATTTAGCAGGTAATTGACATGGCCCTTCATAATCTAGGTCCCGTTGACCTTTCCTCCCTTCCATCATTTTCCCCCAGCACTCTCTTTCCCACCAGTCCCAGACCTCCAGGCTTTCATTTGGGTCCTCCCACACTCCTGACCAGCTTCTCTTCTTGCTTTCAGTTCACTGCCTTCCTCGACACTCCCTCACCTCTGGGCTAGGCTGGCATCTCCTACTTTGTGCTTCCATCCCACCTGGCCCATCTGTTAGCCTAGCTCTCATCAGTTTGTTGAAATTGCTTGCTCAGTCATCCAATATCCTCACTAGACTCCAACCTCTGGGAGAGCAGAGTTTTTGGCTCCTGTTGCAGCCCCAAAGCCTAGACTATCACTTGGTACATGGTAGGTGCTTAGCAAACATTTGAATGAAGGGAAGAGAGTAGGTGCTTAGCAAACATTTGAATGAAGGGAAGAGAAGCAGCCAAACTCAGAGGCTTCTTTTAGCAGGGAGTGCAGGAATGCTCCCAGGGCATCCTCAGGAAGCTGTGCGTGGCATCTGGGTTGGGTATTGGCATGGCCCATTTATCCCAAATACCTGGAAGGCAACCCCAGGGAAGGTTGCTAATGGAGACATACTAGTAGTGTCAGAATCGGGGCCAAGAGCTCCCTTCTCAACTTGCTGCATTCCTTTTTTCCTATAATGGTGACTTATTTTTAGCTACCAAGTAAGGTGAGTTGATTCTCCAGATGCTGTGCTGTCTCCATGAGAAGCTCATCTCGGTTGTCAAGGGATGCCTCAGCCTCACGCCGGAAACTGGCCCATCTCCGGAAGTCTTCTTCACTTATAACCTATGGGACAAGAAAAGGCTGCTTAACAACCTTGGGTGGATCAACAAGATAATTTCCTCTCTTTCCATCTGCTGGGCCTCCTACTGGCCTGTTTGAACTTCCCTACATAATTAGATGGGGCTTTATTCTTAATGATTTTTTAAAATATGTAAATCAATGAATAGTTATCCTTGTGTTTCATTACCACCAAAAATCTGTTGAGCCCCTACTGTGCTCAGATCACTGGAGATGATCTGGACAGACTAGGTCCCTGTATGCCTGAGCTTATATGCTGGTGGAGGGTGAGAGGTATTATCCAAGTAAATAATTTTTAAAAATAATCACCTTTTTAAAAATGGGTGATATGAGGAAACATGATGGGACAGAAGAATAACTGAATAGGGGGATGCCTTCTTTTTGAAGTTCAGGTTTCCTCGACAAAATGACATGCAAACTGAGATCCAGTGACAAAGTGTCAGTCAAGGGCAAGAGCAGGAGTTAAGGCTCTGGAACAGCAATGAACTTGGCCTTCCTTCTGTTCCTTGAATATTTCAGGTGGTGGAAGGATGGAGAGAAAAGTGGAGAAAGTTCAGAAATGAGGCTGAAAAGAAAGCAGCAGCTAGATCTTGCATAGCCTGTAGAGCACTCCACCAGGCATGATGCCATACACATGGAGTGCCCAGAAACTGGAATAATCCAGCTAGTGGCCACATCTTCCTCCCTCAGAGTTCATAGCACTTTTAGACCCTTCTGTTGGTATTACATGCATATGGTATCTTAGAGCAATGAAAGATTATTTTGTCCAAGCATCAAATATTCCTTGAGTTTCTCTGCATGGAGCAATAGAGAAAACCAAAGAGACACAGGTAGGCCTTTTGGTTTTGAGGAAACCTAGTCCATTAGGGGAGGCAAAACATGCACAGATAACTTAAATAGAAAATAGTAGGTGATAAGTGTCTAATTCCGATTTGAAGTAGTGGCAAGCATTTGTCGCTGTCCCAGATGCTGCACATGTGGTTACTTTAATCTCCATGACAACTACATGAGGGAGGGCTGATTAGCACCATATCTCTGTAAAAAAGATAAAACTAAAAAATGTGATGAAATTACTCAAGGTCACACATCTAAAAGCATTGAGATTGGGATTACTACCCAGGTGGCTGGCTTTAAAGTGGGCACTCGTGATCTCTAATGCTGCCCCAAGAACAATAAAAGAGATGAAAAGCCCTTGAGATTTATGCAAGAAAAACCACTTCTAGCCATCTAGAAATGTATGCCCATGATAGGATCCCTATTAGCTTGCTTTTAGGTGTTTCAGTCAGTGTCCAGTTCACAGCCCTCACTGCCTGCCTTTCTTGCAGAGGCTGCAAAGTCAAAGATCTGCAAAGCGTGAGTTAGGTAATCTACAAAACTATGGCTAGGCTGAGTGCAATGCAATGGGGGAGTGGTAAGGACTGCAGTCAACCACAGAACACAGCTGAACATATGCCTCCTCATAGGATCAACTTCTTCCTGGTTGCAGCTGATTGCTGCCATTCCAGAATAAAGACAGGGTTGGCCAGATCCTCTAAATTTTTCAAAGAAACCAGAAATCTAGATTTTTATGTGACTATACAAAAGCTCCCTCAATTTAAAGGAAAATAATACAAATCTAAAAAATGTCATTGGAAAGCAAAATTATAACTGAAAAAATTATTTCATGAGTTGTGGGTTACCCATTACATATATAATAAAAAGCAGGTCATGGCAAAGGCACACGGATATGGGACCTAACTCTTCAGATTTTGGCTTCAGCAAAATCGTCGGTGTCTTCGGTTTTTGTGGTGAGTCAGAACAGCTAATCTTAAAAATGTTAAAACAACCACCTCTAAGGGTCTTTTATAAAGAAAAAGCAGCAGGGTCAAGGCCATTCAGCTATTTAATGATACTGAAAGCATGCTTGGAGGAATTTGTTCTTACCTTCTTGGCAATGCATAGAGTGCGCAAGCCATCTCTTGCATACAAGTCTAGGTGTTTTTGGGTCCGGGCTCGGATTTTTCTCAGCTTCTTTTCTACATCAATGTCAGGCACTGTCAAATAACCATTGTACCCCATGAGGCCATGTACAAATGCTCAGGGATCCCCATCCCCAACACCCTGGAATCTTCTTTAGTAGACTACAGATGCTTTAGAGAAGGAATCCCTTACAGTCCACCTTAGAACCACAAAGGAGCTCTCCTGACTGTCAGGCTGCCCTGGAAGATAATGCAGGAAGTCCTTAAATTGCCTGCTTTCTAATCTTCTCATCAAAAGCCTGGCTGAGTAAAGTGCTATTTAAGGAAGGTAGGTGGTATAAGGTACTGTTCCTGAACACCTTTTTGCATGAGAATCACCTTAATAATAATAGAGATTCTCAAGTCCAGTAAAAGCCCAGCTGAAATCAGGGGACTAGAAGTCTGAATCTTTATTGTTACCTAAAGTGTTTTTAGTTTTTCCCTGGATGGCCAACTGACTCTGGAAACCGTTCTCTAAGCCTATTTATCATCTTCTCTGTCTTCTCCTTGAGGTCTTATATTAAGTTAGGTCCCAAGACATCTACAAGCCTGGATCTCATTAGCTAAGTTCTTTGCCACATTTGTTTTGCTGAGCTAGGCTTTCTTTCAATGCAAGAAATAGTTTTAGAGAAAACTTTTTTTTTTTTTTTTTGCATTTCCAATGAATCTAGTGTGAAAAATATCTGTGTTGTTCAAAGTCCCCTTTGTGAAGTTCCACATAAGTTTCTGTCAGAGGTAATTTGTCTTTTTCTCTTGAAATTCCAGTTCCTTTATCTAATTCTATAATAAGAATTTTTCAGCCAGGGTTGGCTGGTGTGGAGCAGGATTGATGCCATCACCACTTCCCTTTTCTAAGCTGCCACAGACATCATTTATCAATCGCTTGTAACACTGAGCTTAGGCTTCAGAATCCTTCTTTACTAGGGCTGGATTGAGACTTTTAGAGGTCCTAAGAATGAACAGAATTTGTACACCTCACCCATCATTGTATATAATGCAAAATTAAAAATATAATTCTTAACAACAAGCTAAGTATAATGAAGTCCAACAAAACTCCAATTTTCCCATGATACTACTCCAAGGCTATTTTTATATAAAACTTGTTCCAAAGATTATTTTCTAATTTTTCAGGTGTTCCTGATGCCTTAAGCATAGTCTTCATTTGTGTATTGTCTGATTCAGCACTATTTACAACATTTTATTTTTAGAGACACCAGCTCCTAAGATGAAACTTTTTTTGTGTTTTACTTGCAAGCTTTGGAGTTTACCTTTTTTGCTTAGGCTGCCAGGAACCTCAGCATCAAATTGAACATTTAAACACCATGAATATTATTAAACCTGGGGTTATTTTCTCCCTCCTTTCAACGTTTTGCTTTTCAATTCTTACAGTAACTTTGTGTATGTCTTTTACTGAAAGCATCTCTAATCCATTTTGCAATCAGGTGAGGAGCAAATAAAGAGGCATCTCCAGGGCAGCTTGGATGGCTGCTGCCGAGGCTCCCTTGACTCAGAAGTACTGGATTCATTTGTCTGCCAGAGTCTGGGGATAAAGAGAACTAATTAGCTCCCTTCCCATTCTAAAAACTAATGAATCCACTAAACCTCTTGGCCCTGATCCATAGCTGATAACGTAGGAGGCACAGGGCTGCCTGGGCAATTCTGAAGCTTGGCTGGAAGCTACTATCCTGGGAGAATCATAGCCTCATAGCTGTCTTCTCCTTGTTAGCAATCAGGAAGCGGCTGCACACTAATTCATGCTGTTCCAAAATTGGACACTGATATGTCGGGACGTTGGAACATTTTTCTGGCTCAGTGCAAGTTTATGAAAATCCATCTGGGGGAGGCTGGGGAAAAGGATAATAAAGAGGAACACCTGAGGCTTCACAGAGTACGCCAAGCCCAGTGCAGTATGAAATGAGCTTTGACCTGGAATTCAGGATACCTGGGTCTGGGATTTAGCATTAGTTAACCATGTTACCTCTTGTAAGTCACTTTTCTTTCTGGGTTGAGTTGCTTTTCTCCAAAATGAAGAGTTAGGACCACAGTGTGTTTCATGGTAAGATAATGGATGCTCTATTGCAAAAGACTGTTGTGTGGATATTCTATGTTTAAATGAGCTTGGAAAACTGGGATGAAGTTAAAGATGTTGATTTGCTACAAGACTGTACAGTCTTTATGCTAGTGAACCCTGTGATTCCCTAAGTCAAGGAGTTGTAAAATGCAGCATGTTTTAAGGATATTTGAGGAAAGCATCTTGTGAGTCTGTATTCCAGTTGGGACCTGCTCTACCAGATGACACTACAACTTGAACTTCTTATTGCCATTCCACACTGCTTCTTAAACTATGGGGCTCTCTGTGCCTGGAACCCTGGTAAGGCGGGACTCACCACAGGCTGGGTCTTCCAGCAGGTCCATGATGACCGAGTCAGCACCCTTGGTGTAGACGATGATCTCACCAGTCAGTGGGTGCCTCACAACTACAGACATTCTCTTCCTGACAGAGTCAAATCCCAGGGTGCAGAGGAGGCTAAAGGTGAGGCAGGTGCCTTGGGGCAGGCGCACAGTCACCTGCTCAGGTGTCCGGGACACTAGCGTGAAGCTGTAGGCATGAGCAGCATGCACCAGGGCAGCTTCATCAGGGCTTTCAGCCTCGTAACAGAACTCGGGACTGGCCAGGCCTGGGGCAGGAGCCTCCAACACTTCCTCCAAGGAAGTGCCCGACCCAGACTCCAGGGTGTCGCACTGGTCCCACGTGCTGCTCCTGTAGAAACCATCATCAGTGGAGTCACCTCCACTGCACACAGATGCATCATCTCTCTCATCCAAGTCCGTGGTGGCCACGTTGGCCCCCAAACTCTCCCCCAGATCTGTGTCAGAGGGCGCAGTGGACGAGAATGACTGGCTGAGGCTTGATAGCTTCAACTTCTGGAAGAGCTGCTGAATTTTCTCCAGGGATGTCCCCAGAGCCTTGCTTGAGGGTTTGATGGTAACCTTGTGGCCAAAGGAGGAAAGTGGAACGTTACTCTCAGTGCTGGAAATAATACCAAGCTGTTTTATGCAGAATATGAAAGTACTTTTGCAACAAGTAAGGCCAGATGTTTCCCTCCAGTCCTGACCTTCTGAGTATTGACAATGGTCATTTTCCACTGTCTTTTGATCAGCCAACCCTCGGTGTGGACAAATGAAGGAAAAGGAGATGAGAATCAGACACTCATAGTAAGGTTCACATTTCCTGAACTCTCACCGTAAAGGCTTCTGCTTTATCTTTGAGTGCAGTGTCTTGTTTATCCTCCCAATGATGCTATTATCATCCCAACTTATGGCTGAGGACATTGAGGTACAAAGAGTCTACATAAATTGGCCATGATCACCCAGTGTATAGGCAATAGAGATGGAACTCAAGCCTGGGTCTGCCTGACTCCAGAGGCTGGGTTCTTGAGCCACCTGCCAGCTGAAGCTTCCACATTAACTTGAAATTTGGGAGTTGTATACTGTCCTCCACCACATGATACTTCTTCCCCTCTTAAAAATAGAATTAATTTTTAAGATAAAGCTTTCTGCCTCCTAAAACTCCCTGAAGACTTCTGATAACTTGCTAACTTTTCAGTGGTGAAGTGCTTTTCAGGGTGGTTTGGAATCTGAGCACAATGAAGGGAAGTTGTGGTTTAGTGCCTAAACGAACATCTTGTCTTGGTTTCATATTTGCAAGCTGTACCACCTAATTATTCTCATCAGTGACTCACAGGGAGCTTGGCTAAGAGTCTATGGAATATTGAAGGCAAATCCACCTTCAGTAGATTTCAGAGTATAACTTTACATACATGACCATCCCGCTGCATTATTTCCATGGGAAGAACATCATACACACTATTAATTGTTTTTAATCCATTTATAAAAACTGAGAGCAGTACAGCACAAAATGACTAGAAACTATTGTGGAATTGTGCAGATGGTTCTGCCACATATGAGCCATATGTCCTTCATTACCTTACTTGAGTTTTCTGAGCCACCGTTTCTTCACCTGTTAAATCCAAGATCCTGCTTCATAGAGTTGTTGGGTTGAGAGGATTAAATGATAATACAGGTAGAGTGTTGGGCATGGAGCCTGGCATATAGCCAAGTGCTCAGTAATCACTTATAATGTCTATCCTGCAGACACATAGACAAAGTTTGAAAGCTACATAAAAGCTCATATATATCTTTTTCCATTTTATTTAAAAATGAGGAAACAGACCCAGGGAGGGTAAGAGACCTGTTCTAGCTCTCACTGTAATGAAATGGTGACACTGTTGCTAGGACCCAAATTTCATGTCTCCCTGATCAGAACTTCTCCCCTTACCCCTACCCTGCCTTCTACTTCTCTACCTCCTCTCCCCTCTTCCCCCAGCCATCACTGGTCCTTACCCTCTGCCTGGGCTCGGTGGTTGTGGACACCATGACAGAGTTGCAGATAGGTTAAGGCAAGGAAGAAATCGGCAATGGAGGAGGTGGTGGAGAGGGAAGGCTTGGCAGGTCTGCTGTCTGATAAGGTCTCCAGCCACAGGGAAGCATCTCGAACCTTGATCAGTAGGTTTTTATCTGGAGTCACATCTTTTTCCTGGAAGAGAAAGGACAGAATGAGAGTCTTTTCTTGGGAGAAAGCCCATTCCAGAAGATTCTTCACATGCCTGGGGAAAGGATAATGCAGCTTCACTGTGGTCTTGCCTCCAGCATGCTTCTCTCTCCCACAGGTCTGGTCATTGCCAATTTTTATTTGATTCCTTCCTGCCTCTCAGTGCCACATGACCATCTATTACCAGGTGCTGGCAGTTATTCCCTCTCAGTGTCTCCCCACCATATATTCCTCATTTCCGTTGCTTCCAGCCATGCTGAGACCCTCTAACCCTCAATCCTGGATTTCTGTACGAGCCACTAAATTAATGTTGTTGCCTCTCAATTTTCCTCCTAATCCTTTCTATGTATTATGTGCACAGTCTTCCTCAAACTCCATTTTCCTCCTGGTATTCCTGACTTCAAAAAACCTCCAGGAGATATCCATTGTTAGTGTGATCAATTATTTTGCATCTAGGTTCTTTCTCAGTTTGCATTTTCAGTGTTTATTCCCACACTTCTCCACATGGACCCTCAGCTCAGCCTGGTGATCTGTTTGTTGCCTCTTGATGTATACTCCTCCTGTATGCCTCTGATCACACTTTGCTTGAAAAACTCTTTTCTATCTACCAAAATCCCACCTAGACTTTAATAACCATGGGAAGTTCCACTTGTCCATGAGATCTTATATAGCTCACAATGAATCCTCTTTCTACTGAACCACAATAGCAGGTTCTTAATTCAGAGTGTCCACAGGAGTCAGGCATGTAAAGTGAATGAGGAAAATGGACCAAGATAGAGATGAGGACGTTATGGGGGGGGGGGGTAGGAGCTATGAGACCTGGCAAGTCCTACCCCTGTCTAAATGGTAGCTACTGCTCTGCTGAGTGAAATGCTCCAATACTGGCCTAGTTTGCCAAATCTCTTGATTTTTCAAGATAAAGCAAAGGTGATGCATGGGCTTTTTTTTTTTCTTTTCTTCCTATTCTTTTTTTAGAAGAAAAGAGAAGAAGGGCTGGATTTCACTCATGGATTTCCAATTTTTCACATATTTGTAGAAGTTACCACTTGAAGCATCTATTTGGAATTCACTACATATTGACATATATTTTATTTGTCGGTTTATTTATTTTCTCTTGCTCTGGCTCATTTATTTTACTCCAGGGATTTGATGCCTGAAAAGCTTCTCCCAAGCAGTGAGCTCTTAAACAACCAGAGCAGAGGTGGTGGTGGCAATGGCAGCAATGGTGTCTGGCTCTGTCTACCTCCCTGCTGGCATCTTGCTTTGGCCTGTATTTTAAATTCATGTTTAATCTCTCTAGCGATAAGGTAAGAGCCTCAATGATAGAGAGTTGAGTTTTCCATGAGACTGTGTTTTCTAGAGCTCTAACTACAGCTTTTTTGAAGCACAAGCTCAATAAATGCCAGCTCTCAATGGTTAGATATGACAAAAGCCATTTTGCACAAGGCTTTCACATAAGAACATTCCTATCAGTGTTCAGAGTTCACAGCTAAATCATAGTTTAGAAGAGAGTCAATGGCTAAGAAAGATAGACTGAGAGAATCTTGATTAATTTGCACACAGTGAAGACTGAGGGTCAGTGAGCTTTGCCCAAGTTGAGAGTTTAAAAAAATCCCATGGGAAAAGAGGCCTCAGATTGTTTTCTGACTACCAAATGCAATGACTCTCAGAGGTCTGATTCTGTCCTCCCTAGGGCTGCTGGCACAGGTGAGAGCCAGAGAGGAGGAAACTCAGACATACCCCACAAGAATGGAGCACACACTCTTCAAGACTGCTAGCCTTCTTTCTGAGTGCTCTCCAAGAGTCAACACTCACACTCCAACTTGTTCATGCCATCTCAAGATGACAACTTCCAGAAAAAAAGTCTGCTTATCAGAAGGAAGAGTGCTAACAAAACTGAATCAGATCCTCATTTCTTTCTATTGCCCTGAAAACAATTGTGAACCATCCAGACTATGTGGCATCATTTCCAGAAAACCTGAGAAGGGCACACACATATTATCCATGCTCTCTGCCTTTGACTCCAGTCTTCCTAGTAGGAGCTCACATTTGTGAAGCTCTTCCTACCTTTCCAAGCATGTCATTTATATAACCTCATCAGACTCTCAAAGTCTCATGTTGAGAAAAAATGAATCCTGACTTAATTAAAACCCATAGGGACAGCTGATTTGACCAAAGTCACCTAATGAGCTATTGTAAAGCCAGAATCAGAGCTCACACTCCTGAACTGCTAGTCTAAGGTTTGCGTTTTTGTGGTCACAGTTAAGTAGCTATGTTCTCTTATTAATGTTTCTCTGCAAACTTCTAAAACCAGATTCCAGGGACCATCCAGTGTTTGCCATCAAGTCACCAATACCACTCAAGGAACTCCAAACCCATTTCTCAACATAGTAACGAGAGCTCCTATTCATGTGGTGTTTCTTATGTTCTGGTACATCCATGGCCTCATTACATCCCTGCAGTTACATCATCTGTTTAGTACCATTATCCTCCCAATTACCTCTGTATTTCAGATGAGGAGACTGAGGCCTGAGGAAGTTGTCTTGCCCAAGGTCACACAGTAAGTGCAATGAATTCCTTCAGTTGATTTCAGTTAGTCTGACTCTAGAATTCATAATCTTAACACCCATATCAGGCAAGATCCTGCATGCGAAGGAAGTGGCCTTTGAGACTTGACACCCAGTGTCAAGTCTGGCATCTCAAACAAAATAGATGCATTTGTATAGCTAATCGTAAGGCTCAGCAGATAGTCCATGAGAGTAATAAAAGGGATTATGGAAAGTTTCTTTTTTCAGAAAATAGGCTTCTTTTTTGGGGGTAGGGCACATGAATAAGATGATGCTGTTAAATCTTAGCACCACAGGTACTTAAAGTTGAGGAACAAACTTGGAGCTGTCAAAGCTAAATCCCCTATTTTCCTGATGCCAAAATTGAGTGTCAGAGAGGAGGAAACTGTCTGAGATCATACATTGATTTAGGGTCAGAACTAGGACAGTTTTCACACCACCTGACTCCCGTCCTCTTACAGCACACTGCTTTCCTCCAAGCTGTGCATTATGTATTTCCGAATACTGACACAGTTAAAATGTTTCAAGTTATTTATTCCATATTTATTTACCCTCTGGTCTATAAGTGCTATGAGGGCAGAGACTGTATCTGATGTGTCTCTTGTGCCTGGTAGATTGCAAGCACGCAAAACATTTGCTAACTGACTCCTTTCTAGGATGCCACGATACCTCACCACTGATTAACTCCTGCTGTCTCTTCATTAAAACTAATCTTTAATATATTTCCATCCAATCTTGTAGCAATGAATTAAAACAAAAGCCTTTTCTGCAAAAGGCCCTGGCTCATCCTGCAGGTGCTTGGAACAGATGTCAGCTAACCTTTATCCATCCACCACAAACTTGTTCCCACAGAGCAAGGCTCTTCATGGCTCCTTTTGCTCCAGCCCACTGGTTTCCCATATGGTCCTTTAACATTTGGAAACTTGGCACTTAGAGTACTTAGAAAGAAAGTGTCCTCACCCACTGCTGGCCATTATCCAGACTATTTCTCTGAAGAAAAAGAAATATAAATTTGTGGGGCCACCAGTTTTTTACATAAGAACCTTGTGTCAGGCAGACACTCAACTAGTTGGATTTCCTTCCATTGCAGAACATCTAAAGTACATACAAACCCTCTTTGAGGAGGGTGATTTTTGAGCTCAAACAATATCCTCAAGGGTCCTATTATTATCATTAGAGTACACTTATTGAGAATGCATAGCCAAGTCAGGCACTGGGCTAAGTGTTCTCATGTCTATTATCTAATCATCCTAAGAGCATTGATATAGTTAGTATCATTCCACTTTAATTATGAAGCAAATGAGGCTCATTGATGTTAAGTAATTTATCCCAGGTCATAAAATTGCAGATAATGTGCTGGGACTTAAATTTGGTACTGCCTGATGCCAAAGCCTTATCGGTTTAACACTATGCCAACATTTCTCAAGCTTTCATATGTACACATGTCAACTGGGTATCTCATTCAGCAGCTCTGAGTGGGGCCTGAACACTGGTAATTCTGACAAACTTTCAGGTGGTGTTCGTGCTGCTGGGCCGAGGACCACAGTTTGAGTAGCAAGAGTCTATGTTACATGGCAACCCTGTTGTTTCCATTCCTTTCTGACTGGGATGTGTTCTCACAATGAAGGCTGGGAAAAGCAGGCCAAACTCTACTCTGCTATTTTTCTTTCAGTATAATAATAACTCACTCAAGTTCAGATGGGTGACTATCACAGGTTGGGTATAGTAGGTTGTTGCTACAGGAATTCACAATAGGAAATAAACAGGAAACTTGGTGCCTGAGCTTGAAAGAAAATCCTTCATGGCATAGTTCCTCTTACGTCTCCATTTCCTCCTTCTCTCCCTGGATTGCACCTTTCATTCCAGTTACTCCCAAGAACCACAGTTCTCCATCCTGCTTGTACAGATTGCCTCCTCCCACAGCCTGCACACCTCACCACCCCTCCCCACTAGATGGTATCTTTATTCCTCTGGTTAACCTTTACTCTTGTTTCAAAATTCAGCCCAGGTGCCAACCTTTCCAGGAAGCTTCCTTGACGTGCCAGAATGACAGAGCTTCACTCTTCTAAGCTCCTATAGCACTTCTGCACCCACATATTCCAGCCCAGAAAGCATTGTCCTGTAGTCACTGTTGCTCCTTTTGTCCCTTCTTTGGGCTGTAAGCTCCTGAAAGCAGGAGCAATGTCCTATTAGACTTTATGCCCCCAGTGTCTAGGACAGTATATACCACGGAGCAGATGCTTACTCAATATTTGTTGACTGACCCAATACATGATAGGCTCTTCTAAAGAAATGTAGACAGTGGCAGAGGAAGGAGGAAGCAGACCCTTCTGTTTGTTGTTGGTGAGTGTCTCAACTGGTACAATGTCTTGGGAAGAATCAACCAAAATAAAAAGGCACATACTGGCCAATTTAGCAATTATGCTCTAAGAATACTGTAGAGAAACTAAACACATGTATAAACAGATGACGGCTCAACTATCCAATGAATTCTAGCAGTCATTAAAAAAAAAGATGAGGCAGCTTTCTATTGAATGTCTACTTGTCTGTCTACACATAGGAAATATTCTTTAAAATTAATTATGTTAAAGAAAGAAGCACAGCCCAAAACAGTGGGTATGGCATGCTTCCACTTGCAGTGAAGGATGTGCTCGTGTGAATGCCATGCTTGTATATTTCTGTACACTTTTGGGAAGGACACATAGGCGCTGGTAATCATGCTTGTGCCTGAGGTGGTGGGAAGAGAGGATGGAGGGACACTTACTTTCCACCATTAGCCTTTGGTTCCTTTTGATTATGTAACCCTGTGGGCTATGACTATTATGGAAAGATTTTCCTAGTTGCTGGGGAGCTGGAGGCTAACATTGTTTAGGAAAGTCATGTTTCTGTCCTGTCTAAGGCTGTGGTCTTGATGACATTTGGTTTGAATCAAGAACTGGGGAAGTCAAATGTTAGTAAATGCTCACTTAAATAGGAACACATGAATTGTTAGGGTAAACTTTTCCCAAATGGGGCATAAGCCCAAAGAAAAAAACTCAGTGGTGAAGAAAGAAGGGAGTTTTCCAGATCTTGCCAGCTTCCACCTCTTGTGAACGGTGTCACTGTGGCTCGGTCCCCCCACCTCAATTTGGGACACTGGAGGACAAGGGGAATACAGATAGGCTTCACTGCTTCCTGCCCTGTGTGATCAAATCACTTCCAGAAAGATTCTGTGTACTTGGCTAATTAAATCAGGACTCTTATCTAACCTTACAGTGGGAGTGTGTGTATGTGGGCTGTCCCACCAATTTGGAGCAGACTGGGAGTGCTGCAAAAATCTTTTCCAAAGAAAGAAAGGCAGACCAAGATTAGTGAAAGGAGGCAGAGATCCAATGACACCTCCTTCGCCCCTCTCTGTTGCATTCTCTTCAGATGGGTGGCGGCGGGGGGGGGGGGATGTCCACAGAGGAAAGCAGTGGGGAAATTTGGAGGAACCTAACTGGCCCCAGTACAAATTTTATGATTAGGAAGATATTCTTTGGTCTGATGGTGCTGAAAAACATTCTGCAAGTGGCGTTTTTAAACAAAGACTCTGCTCAAATCTTGGCTGCTTACAGACAAGAAAGAAAAAAGAAAGACATTTCATTTTCCATCTGCCAGTACTATTAAACATTGGCTTGGGACTCAGCTCATCATTTTAATAAGTATATTACCCCCATCTTAAAGCCACAGATTTTATTGCAGGCAATTAGGTGGCAATCATTGATGGTTTCTTGTTTTTTCATAGTAAAAGAAAAAAACCCCCAGCTTCTGTTGTTGCTGTTTTTGTTGATTCTTGTTTTATTTTTGGTTTAGAGCAAAGGGCTAAGGAAACTAACAACTGGCTTCTTTAGAAGGTGGTAGAATGCTCCCTGGGGGTTTCAGAGGCAAATTTTGACTGAGTTCACTGAGGGAGTGTAAAGAACTGGTGGTTCCAAGAGATGATCAGATCAGATTGGGTGCCAGATGGGCAGGTGCAGGAAGGCACAGAAGGCAGGTGGAAGGGGACAAGTGCAGAGAGTCTGCCAGGAGTGGGTGGGGGTGGGCACCGAGACAGCCACCTGGAGCTGCTGCAGGAGCTCTCTAGGGACAACGTCAACGATCTGACACCAGCCAGAGGTATTTGACAGGTTAGTACAAGAGTCCTTGAAGACTGCCTACTTCACTCCCTTCAGCAAATGCCTCCCAAGCTGTAGAAAGTGCCAATTTGAGCCAAGTGAAGACTCTTTCCTGGTAGGATGATGGTCTGCTTATGGAGGGTCCCCATCTTGGCTGCTCCCTAGAATCATCAGAAATTAAACTATAAATGCTCAGGACTCACCCTAGATCAAATACACCAGGATCTCAGGGGAGAGAATCCAACAACTGTATTTTATGGAAACTCCCCATTTTCTCTTCAAGACATCAGATATGTGAACATTTGTTCAAGGCAGACAGCTTTCCTTTGAAAGATCATTTAAAACTTCCATTAGGTATCTGTCTGCTTAGAACACACGATTTTAAGAATTAAATCCTCAGGCTGGGCACAGGGACTCACGCCTGTCATCCTAGCAATTTGGGAGGCTGAAGCGGGTGGATCACCTGAGGTCAGGAGTTCAAGACCAGCCTGGCCAATATGGTGAAACCCCATATCTACTAAAAATACCAAAAATTAGCCAGGCGTGGTGGCAGGCACCTGTAATCTCAACTGCTTAGGAGGCTCAGACAGGAGAATCCCTTGAACCAGGGAGGTGGAGGTTGCAGTGAGCCAAGATCGCAACATTGAACTCCAGCTTGGGCAACACGAGCAAAACTATGTCTCAATAAATAAATAAGTAAGTGAATAAATAAAGTAAATCCTCAAAATAAATTCACAAGCCAGAACAATTATCCTCATTTTAACAATGGGTAAGTTGAGGCTTCCATTTCAGTAAGCTGACAAAAGTTGCAGAGCTAGTACTGTGGTGCAGCTTAGATGAAAACCTGAGACACTGGACTCCACAGGTGCCTAATTCATAGCTAGAAGTGATCTTGCAGGTCAGCAAAACATTATGTTATTTGATCTTTAGAACAGCTTGGTGAGAATTTTAAGTAAAGTATTTTCAGCTGGTGAAAGAGATATAGAAGGAGGTTTAACATGTTGCTTAAGGTTACCTAGCAAGCCAGTAGCAGAACTAAAACCAGAACCTCCATTACCTAACTCAGCCCAGTGCCCTTCCTCAAAACTACTCAAAGATATAATTGTTCCATTAAACCCAGATTTACAAGTGACCTGATTGCATGAGTATACTTAGCTGTTCATAAAAAGAACATATCACCATCTTCCCTTGCCCAGGCAACAGGAATTGGGACTTAACCCATGTCTCCAGTTCCTTATCGCTCTTGAATGAACTTAGTCAGAACTTGCCTTTGGGACTGCAGGATGATGACATCCAGGATCTGGAGATAGCTCCAGGGTTGACGTGTCCCTCTTACTGACCATCGACTAAAAGCCCTGCATCAAAGTTTTACTGCCTGGTCCAGGAATGCAGTTTTTCTGGGCTGTTGAGACTTGCCAGGCTGAACTAAGGCCAGTGAACTGATGTGACTCAACTGAGATCCACAAAGAAAAGCTTCCTTTTTCTCCCTCTCACTTTCTGGGGGAGACATTCTCAGGCAAGCAGGATACCTGTGGTACCTAGAACTTGAAGGTGCCAAAGACACATAGAATCTGTGCCTAATGAGAATTCACTAAGGTCATTTTACGAATATTTAAGAAAAGAGCTTGGAGAAGTGCATTACATTCATGGGGGAAGAATTACGAAGGATGTAGTCACATGCACACCTTGTTGTTATCTCTCTTGGGAAAATCATAAAGGAGAAAAAATATACAAAAATCTTCCTGAAGACACCTATGGATCATTTCACTTGTGTATTCATGAAGGTCATGTCTTAACACACTGTTCTTGTCTTATCCTTGCTAATGTTGCATTTCTGTGCATGGTAATAACCCAAAAGAGGGAACTCAACTTTGTACTCACCCAAAGGTAGATGAGTAACGACCCAGAAAACAGGCTCACAGTGTTTCTTCTTTGTCTCAGTCAGAAAACACAGTCCTTGGTTATGAATACCAAGTAGAAATATGGAAAATGATTTTGATATCATGTTAGGTTAAAAAAAATCCCAGCATCTATAATTGAGATGTATCATGATTGCAAAAAATGTTAAATATATGTAGTTTGTGTGTGTGTGTGTGTGTGTGTGTGTGTGTGTGTGTGTGTGTATGTGTATTCATGGGAGAAATAAAAGACTGGAAAAAAATTGACCAAAAAGAGTTTTATAATCTAATTTTCCAGTAAAGGGATAGTAGCCCTTTAGGTCCCATCTGTTAATATGTGTGTCTTGTTCAAGATTGCTGGGGCTCCCTGTGGCCTCTTCTGTTAAGTGCAGAGGTTCCAGATGATGTGTTTTTATGTTCCCTGGAGAAAAAGTGTGTGCAAAGGAAAGACGAATAGGACAGTAGTCAGAAGCCCTGGTCTGGCCTTGACTTCTAAGGAATGCTGTGTAGTCTCTGAGGGTGGGAACATGGTTTTCTTTACCTGCTACCTGGATGTTTGCTGATGGCTGTTCTAGTGGATCAAATGTAAAAGGACCATATGCAGAAAGCCCCAGGCCAAAGCCAGAAACAAGCAATGCCCATAAGGGCCAAAGGGAATTAGGCAGTTAGCCGAAGGGAAAGAAATGGGCTGGGTAATCTTGACATAGATATTATTTGCTTCATAACTATTTAAAACTTATTTTTGATCACCATCAAAAAGTATATTCTCCCATTTTTTTTTCCAAACACATATACATTACAGGTGTATCTTTTGTTTTTCTCCCTTACAGAAACATGAGCATAACGAAGATTTCTCACTTCTCCTAAGTGTATAATTTTAAATACATGCCTAATGGGTCTGTTTTCTCCCTCTCATGTTCTGGATGAGAGGGAGAAAACATACTCATTATGCATGTTTTTAAAATTATACAGTTGCCCCTACCTCAGTGGTGGGATAAATAGAGAAGGCGGGCAGGGGCTGTGATGAGCTGAAGATGGCATGGCCAGTCTAAATGTTAGGGACCTCTCAACTCAAGTCAATTGCCATGAGGAAATGCTGGCTTAGTGTGGATAATTTTTATAATTCAGTTTTTAAGAGAGAAGCCAAAAAATCTATATGCTTACATAAAATCTCCAGATTTCTAAACACTGAACGTTTCAAATGAACAGGAATTGTCTATGCCAGCAAAACACACTTGTGGACTATATATGAAACCAAGAGCACCATTCTGAAAGCTCTTCAGGGTTTGCACAATCTTTTCTTTTTCACATTCCAAAGCCCTCTCCCATCTCTTTCCACGGAACACTTGCTGTTAAAAGGGGAAATTCAGGGACTTACTATGGAGCTGCTGAAGGCCACAGGAGGCTGTGAGCTTTCACGGTTCCCCATAGACCTTTGTCGGTAGTGGCCCTGGATGGGCACCCGGGCACTCTGGCTCCTCCTCAAAGGCGGAGCACCTTTTTGGCCTCTCATAGTTGCTGGATCCTGGGCCCATCTGGCTGGGAAAGACAGGCATTGGTACTGTGTCCACTCTTCACCATCTGAGTCCAGCTCCTTTGGGGTCTCCAGTCGCTTAGCTGCAAGAAAGGAGTCCTGTTATTGTACTAGTTGTACCTTCACTGGACCATGTTGGGGAGAGACTAGATTTTGGGGTGGGGCAAGAGCATGAGAAAGGCCTATGCTACTCTGGAAAATCGGCATCTGGGCTGACAAGACTGGAGAAAGAAGGGTACAACTAAGTCCCACAGGTTCAAACCTTAGTGGACTACCTACTAGTCATGTGACTTTGAGCTTTGATATAACCTGTCACTTTACTTCCTCAGGGTTTTTTTTTTTTTAAGCTTTTAACTCATAGGGATGCTCTGAAGATTTAATGATATAATGTGTTAAAATGACTAGCAAGCTCTAAGTACTGGTAATGTAGCTCTTATTATTATTACAAAGAGATCAGATGCTCCCATGTAAATAGTCTGCAATCACCATGGCAAAGGGGATAAGGCTGCTTATAATATCCTCTCCATCTTTCTCTTTCTCCATCCCTCCCACTCAAAAGAATGAATGATGCTCTCTTAAGAGTCTCCTTTCTTAGAAAGTGTGTGTGTGGGTGGGGGAGGCAGTCAAAGTTGGGGAGATCATGGCTGAAGTAATCAGGTCAGTTTTATGAGTCATATTCAGTCCATGAAAGATAACAGTGCAGGCCTTTGATAGCCCTATCTCCTAAATCAAAACTTTGCCTCAGTGACAATCTAAGAGATCTGTTGGAATAGAAGGCATTTTCCAGATGTGTTAAATCTGACCATGTGCCTAGACCCAGACCTGCCCTGAGATGTCAGGACAGGTGGCCTGAAAAATTCCCAAGCCTTGTGTGACTGGCATATGATTGGGAAATGTCTCCAATCCATTGCTGACAGATAAAAAATCCTGTCTTGTAAAGTGCTTTGTCTAGCACCAGATAAAGATCAACTGGAGGGGCACCACATATGGGATAACTTCTAACCTTTGTGAACAAATGAAAATTTACAAGTAATTGGAACAGCCCTGATCTGTGACAAGGAAGACCACGGGGATACAGGAAGCAACTTGTGGAAATGCCATACAGCCTCTAAGAGAGACAGGAGAATGTCTTTTATCCCCTTGTTTCTTAGGAGAACAGGGTATTTCCTTTTAGAAAGAGGGATGCAGCCCTTGGGAGCTCTCGTACCATTTTCTTGGTGAGAATACTCGCTGCCCATGATGGTGCAACGTCGAAACACCATCTTGTTCTCTGTCAGGGTCCCCGTCTTATCAGAGAAGATGTACTGGATCTGGCCCAAGTCCTCCGTGATGTTGAGGGCTCGACACTGAATGGATAAATCAGTCTCTTCATCATACAGGTCAAGGTCATTGTTCAAGAAGAACACTTGCCCGAGCTTCACCAGCTCAATGGAGACGTACAAAGAGATGGGGATCAGCACCTGCAAAGAGATGAGCTTCTACCATGTCAGAAACCAGGCAGGTTCCCTCCCTTGGGATCCTCACTAGCAGATAGCAAAGACATTTAATGGAAAGCTGAGGTCAGCTCACAGGACAGACTGTGATATTAACGGTCGATGACCTCATGCATCCCTTGGAATTCTTAGGGGAATCTGAAAAACGGATATGTCTTCTTTGACCAGGGATGTATGGTACAAGGTAGGCACTCACCATTGGTTGTCTGTGATTGAGCTGGGAGGGAGTGAGGGAGATTTAGCATCTCTGATTAGAGTCCCTTGACTCCTGTCAGGTCTTTGTGCCACCAAAGGCTGCTGCCTACTTTTATAGGTATTCAGACCTATTGTTAATTTCTCCCCACTGATTCAATACTTGGCATTTACCAGGTGCTTGCTGTGCATTTGATGCTGTTCTAAGTCCTGGAAATGAGTCAACAGAACATAATTCCTGGCTTTGAAGAACTCACTTTCTAGTGACAGTGAACAAACAAATATCAGTGGTGGAAAGTCACATGAGGAAGAATAAAGAAAAGAAAAGGGGGTAGATTGATGGCTGGGTGGGATGTTTGTAAACCATGACCTTTGAACCAAGACATGAGGAAGCCAGGGTGGGAGTTGTGAGGTTATCTGGGGGAGGAGCGTTTCGAGCAGAGGAGAAAGCGAGACACAGGCCTGGCAGTGGGGGTGGTGTTTGGGGAGTAATAGGGAGCCGGCTTGCAGGTGAGTGAGCAGGGGAGAGGGCTAGGAGAAGAGGTGAGGGAGGGAGTCAGGGTCCAGATCACTTAGGGCTTCATCAGCCACCATAAGGACTCTGGATTTCACTTTGAGCGGTTATGAAACCATGAGGGGATTCTGTACATAGGAGGGGTACGATTTAATTCACATTTAAAATAGATTACTTTGATAGGTGAATGAATGGAAAATGACCAATAAGGGGGCAATGAAATAGCCTCCAATACTACAAGAAATGGTAGATGGAGCTCCACAAAAGTAAAACTTCAACTTCTCTCATCTTTTCATAGATTCTATTTTCTTAGAGACCATGAAGATTTTAAAATTCATCTCTTCATCAATTACTGCCTCACATTTTGTAGGTGCTGTTTTTTTTTCCCCTGTCCTATATTAGGCCAGTTCTGTTCTTCTTTTTTTCTCAATGTATCAAATGTTAAACACTAACTTGTGGTTTCTCTCTCTCAATGTTAGGGGCATGAGAGTTTTCTGTAGCTCACTGTGTTATCTTCTTTTATTCCTAGGTTCTGACAAAGGGACAGGCACATATATCTGTCTGACAAAGGAATAGGCACATGTGAGTCGCTGCTGTCATCTTACTCTTAAATAGAAAAGCCTGTAAATATTTCCCTCCAGCTGTTATCTAGGGTGCAAGGTCCTTAAATCACCCAAAATATGAATATTTTCAAAGACCCACGAGAAAATGATGACCATATCCTCATTCTCTTTCCAGTTTGTGCTTTCTTGTGGCCAGCACTGATTTTTCTTTATTTTACAAAGTTGTAGGGGTTTTGGTTACATATCTTATTGGGGCTCTAGTTAGGGAGGGCTTTCTACCTGGAGCAGAATAATCATTGTGAGGAACATGTAGAAGCCTCCAAGGGCACGGGGAAGGAAGCTGCCGTTGGCCTCTGGCACGTCAAAGGGAGGGTGTTCTTCAAAGGTCCCATTCCAGATGCTGTGACCTGAGAGGAGGAGAAACCAGGAATGAGACTGAATCTCCACTAAATCCTAAAATTGGTCAATTACAATAGCCCTTGACACATTCCTAGAAATGGGTGTGCTTTGGAGGGCCCCTCCTTTTTCCATACAACATAGCTCTGTGTGTGTATATGTGTGTATGTATGTGTATGTGTTCATTAAGCTCTTAAGTGGTTCCTCATATGCATTTCAATCCCTTGATAGGCATTAAGTTTGTTTCACAGAGGAAATTGGCATGAGGATTACTTATGTTTTCATTAAGCCTTGCTAAAAAGGAGCTGGAAAGAGAGAAATACTTTTTCTTTTTTGTTCTGTGGTGCACCTCTCCCCTAGTCCCGTCTTATCCCATCTAATGCTCATCTACCTATACATCCATCCATCCATTCATTTTTCTATCCATTAATCTATTCATCAGTCCCTCCATCCACCCACCCATCTACTCACCCATCTATCTATCCATCCATCCATCTATCCATCTCTCTATACACACATCCATCTTCTTTCCTTCCCTTCCTCCCTTCCTTCCTTCCATTTTTCTACTTATTCATCTATCCATTCATCCATCTATTCACCCATCTACTCATCCATCTATCCATTCATCCATCCATCAACCACTCCATCCACCCACCCATCTACCCATCTATCCATCCTTCCATTCATCCATTTTTCTGTCCATTCATCTATCCATTTATCCATCCACCCACCCATCTACTCACCCATCTATCCATCCATCCATTCATCCATCCTTCCATCTATCCATCCCACCTTCTATTCATCCATTTTTCTATCCATTCATCCACCCATTCACCAATATACTTACCCATCTACCCATCCATCAATCACTCCATCCACCTACCCATCTACTCACCTGTCTATCCTTCCATCAATTTTTCTATCTTTTCATCTATCCACTTATCCATCCATCTACCCATCTACTCATCTATCCTTCCATCCTTCCATCTATCCATCCATCCTTCTGTTCTTCCATTTTCTATCCATTCATCCATCCATCTACCCATCTACTCACCCATCTATCCATCCATCAATCCCTGCATCCACCCACCCATCTACTCATCCATCCATCCATCCATCCATCCATCCATCCATCTATCCATCCATCCTCCTATTCATCCATTTTTCTATCCATTCATCCATCCATCCATATACTCACCCATTTATCTATCTATATATTCACCCAGCCACCCACCTAGCCATTTGCCCATCCACCCATCCATCCATCCATCCCTGTTTACTCATTCATCTTCCTCTCTGTCTAACATTGATTAATTCAAGAAGTCAAGAACTTAGTACTAGTTCTTGTCATTGCGGAGTTTTCTTCCAAATTAGGGAGCCAGACATAAAAGGACAAATCACATACAGTATGAATGGTGTAATAGCAGAGCCTGGAATGCTCTGAGAGCCCATAACAACAGCACCAGGTACAGACTGAATTCTGTTTCCTTATCTGCAAAGGAGATAGCAACACCCATTATCTGAGGATTATGTAAGGTGAAGTGCATCCAGCATCTGTTACAGAGCTCACTAAATCTCAGTGTCCTTGTCTGTTAAATAGTAATAATACCTTCCCTATAGAGTTATATTTAGAATAACCTCATGTATAAAATGCTCTCAGATCCAAGAATTATAGAGAATAAAAGGCATAGGGAATGTTGCAATCCCCAAAGATGCTTCCTTGACCAGAAGGTTGGGCCAAATGCCATCATACCTGGAAGAAGAAAGAAAACTTACAGACACAAAGCTATTTATGTGAAGTTAGTATTATAAAGCAGGTGACTAAGGATCAAACATATGGCACAGAGTAAGGGCCACTAGCCCTTAGGGGAGTAAGACAAGAGCATGGGAAAGGCCTGAGAAGGCTGCATGGATGAGAGGGACTTGAGGGGGTCCTGGAGCCCCCACAGGTGTTTGGGTGGTCAGGAAGGCCAGGGCAGGGTATCCTGGGTGAGGAAAGAAGAGACACTACTTTTACAAAATCAAAGTAAACATGTGGTCAAGAACTGTGGAATAGTGCTAATTTGAGAGAATTCATCTTCTATAGGGCTGTGCTTTAATTAGTCACCAACACAGTCCTGTGTATGAATTGTTACCTCAGATAGAATTCTGACCCTCCCCTATGATCTTTCTTCATTTCTTTATGGTTTTGGGGAATCTGCCAAGCAGATTCTGGTTTGCCTGTACCTTATCTTGCCCTGTGACCTTTTAATCACTAACTTTCTTTCTCTGGAGACACAGTGAGATGATCTCAAATGTCCTTTTCACTCTGCTATGCCCCGAAAAAAATCTGTCCTGAAGCAAAAGCAACAGTTCCTGCAGCATCTTGGGGACACAGAGGTGGCCACATGGGTTGGGAGGAGGGTGGGAGTGAGACAACCGCTTGTTTCCCTGCTTCCCTCCCCAGGTGCTCTCCTTACATCTGTGAGCCAGCCTCAAGTGAAGTGCTATTAGACACACCTGAGAACTCCAGGCCACCCACAAGACTCAATCCCATCATCCCTGTAGTGGCACACATTTATTCATCCATCTATCCATCTATCCACACAGTCTTTCTGAGCCCCCAGGAAGCACTCAGCTTTTCAGATACTATGTTTCTAACAACAGCAACTGGTACCATTTCTGACTAAGGTAAATAAACAGCAAACACCACTGCTGCTCATTGGTTTGGGGTCTGTGTGGTTCTGGACTCAGGACATGAGTTTTTCTCTTGATTGTCCCTGGTTCTTTTTGAGATCTCCTTTAGAATCTGAGAAGCATTCTTAGAGTAAGACTACAGACGGGGCAGGGGGAATGTAGGCCCCTCTTTACCTACACTCTGAGGATCAACTTAAAGGGCTCCAGATCACTCCTGTCTCCACCTCTCATGGTGCTTCTCACTCAACTCGGGCCATAGGCTGGCTCTGCTAAGGTCTCCATTCTTGGTTTTACTCTTGCCACATCCGACAGGTTACTGCTCCTCTGCACAAAATGATTTTCCTTTCTGCCTCTGTGCTTTGCTTGTGACTTTCCTGTGGCTAAGAGTGGCCTCTCTCTTTCTGCTCACAGTGGCCTGCCCTGTCCAGCCCCTACACTTGGCTCTGCCACCCTCCTCCTCTGGCAAATGTCTACTCAGCTTGAGAATCAGCTCTAGAAGCTACCTCTTCAAGAATTATAACGATGGGCCCAATGATGTAATCCCAAGTGTCTTGTAAAAGGCAGGGGGAGCTACTGCTGCAGATGAGTAGAGGGAAATGTAGGCAGTGATTGGGGTGGGGCACTCCAAAGATGGAGGAAGGAACCACAAACTAAAGACTACAGGCAGGCACTAGAAACTGAAAAAGAAAAGGAATAGATCCTTCCCTCAGAGCCTCCAGGAGGAACCAGCCCTGCTGATATCTTGACTTTAACCCAGTGGTCCCCAACCTTTTTGGTACCAGTGACTGGTTTTGTGGAAGACAATTTTTCCACAGTTAGTGGGGAGGGGGAGATGGTTTCAGGATGCAAGTGCATTACCTTCATAGTGCACTTTATTTCTATTATTCCATTGTAATATATAATGAAATAATTATACAACTCACCATAGTGGAACAGGTGGTAACCCTGAGCTGCTTTTCTTGGAACTAGATGGTCCCATCTACATCTAGGGGTGATGGGAGATGGTGACAGATCACCAGGCATTAGATGCTTATAAGGAGCATGCAATCCAGATCTCTCATAGGAGCAGTTCACAGCAGGGTTTGCACTCCTGTGAGAATCTAATGCCACAGCTGATCTGGCAGGGGGTACTGCTCCTTGGCCCAGGTTTTAGGGACTCCTGCTTTAACCTGCTGAAATTGATTTGAACTTCTGATCTCCAGAGATGTAAAATAATAAATTTCTGTTGTTCTAAATCACTGTGTGTTCATGTTTTGCAGTGGCAATGGGAAACAAACACAGTCCCGGTGTGCAGCTCAGTATGAGTGGAACAGATTGCGTTACTGATTTGGTTCTTCTTGTTAGACTATGAGCTCTTTGAGGACCAGTCCTATGACTGATTCATCTTGTTTTCCTCCCATGCTATGAGAGTGCCTGTGTTCAGTAAATATTTCTTGAGCAAATAAACATCAGGTGATATTAAAAATAGTTAAAGAGCACATACTACTTTTAGGAGATTTTTCTCTTGCCTTTTCATTTCATTGGCATCCCATTGAAGTAGGCAGAGTAGGCTTTACATTTTATGAGCCCTACTTTACAAGTGAGGACACTGAAGAAACTTGCCCAAAGAAATCGATTACTGTGTTCTTGTTCTTTCCAGAACGTCCCATACCTACAGCTCCAACAAGGCACATGAGGATGAGGATCCCAATGCAGAAGAAGATGTCTGTGTTTATGCGCCGTTCAATCTTGCTGCGTTTGTACCGGGGGCCGCTGTTGTTCAGCATAGCTTTTGTTTCATGGCCTTTGGGAGAAAATGAGGAAATCATTAGTCCCTTAGCTCCCGTCTGTTTATGTCTTAGACCATTCCCTCAGCTCTTCTCACAGCAGCTTCAGATAAAAGAGAGGATTCACTCTTTTTTTTTTTTTTTTTGTGAGACAGAGTCTCACTCTGTTGCCAGGCACCAGGCTGGAGTGCAGTGGCACAATCTCGGCTCACCGCAACCTCCGCCTCCCAGTTCAAGCAATTCTCCTGCCTCAGCCTCCCGAGTAGCTGGGACTACAGGCACACACCGCCATACCCAGCTAACTTTTTGTATTTTTAGTAGAGACGGGGTTTCACCATCATGGCCAGGATGGTCTCAATCTCCTGACCTCGTGATCCTCCTGCCTTGGCCTCCCAAAGTGCTGGGATTACAGGCTTGAGCCACCACACCCAGCCCAAGGATTCACTCTTTAACCTGAACTTGCACTGCCTCAGAAGGTTGCTGAGAACAGCTGTAGAGGCCTCACAGAATTTGCCAGCAGGTACTCAGCGCACATCCCCTCCATGCATGCCAGACACTGCGGTGGACGTTGACAGAGCTCCCACGCACAGGCTGTGCCCTGCACAACTCTAGAGGGTAGTTCTCATTCTGTAGTTGCCAAAGATTTGTAAATTTATTATGAACAGAGTTCTGGCAAATGATAGTAAGCTGTCTTAAGGAAGGGCTGCCTTTTTCTAATTTACACAAAGGTTCAGTTCTGCCTGTTACGGGCTAGCAGTGGGATACAACGGCAAGACATAGGATTCCCATTTTAGTGAAGATATGCAAGAAGACAGAAAGGATAATTATCATTATTAATAAGTCCTGTGACATAATTAATACACAGTAAACCAAAGGCCAAGGTGGCTAAGAGATGGTGTTGGAACGCCTGCTCAGGGAAACTTCTCCAAGGAGATGACATTGAAGAAAAGCCTGAAGGGAGAGTGGAGTTTGCTGCAGAGTGTTTCAGGCTGGGGAACTGTATGTGTAAAAGTCCTGTGGTAGGACAGTGCCTGGGACCAGTAGTTTCCCTACTTGAATCTTTGGTCATGCCTAAGTTGTTGGTGTTGCCTGAGCAAGAGTACTAAGGAGCAAAGGTCTCCACCTCAGCACTAATCCTGGGCAGCTCCATTCCTATGTTGTAGTTCTGCATACAATTTTGGTCAAAGAAAGGATGACAAAGTTTGAAAACTACCCATTTCTTCTGGTCACCTTTCTTCCTAACAGGTGAAACTGTGTGCTAGATGGTAAAAAAGATCTGCCCGAAGTGAAAGAATAAGTCAGCATCTCCTTGGCTCCTCCTGCTGCCTTTGGCCTCTGCCTTCCTGCTGAACCCGCTGGCACTGGAAGGGGCCCGCATGGCCTTGTCTGGCTTGGGGGGCACCTTCTGAGCCTCGCCTGGCTGTGCCTTGCTGCCTTGCTTGCGAGCTTTTTCTGTGGCTGCGCCTGGCTTGAGAGGAAACTTCTGCGCCTCTGCTGGCCTCTTGGCTGCCTTGTTCACCTTGCCTGCCTTGGGAGGCTCTTTTTTTTTTTTTTTTTTTTTTTTTTTTTTTTTTTAAGAAAGGCCGATACTATTTGTTCCTTTATGTGTAGTGGTTCTTTCAGAAGCTTTTGTAAAGCAGGCCTGGTGGTGATGAAATCTGAGTGCTTGCTTATTCACAAAAAACTATTTTTCCTTCACTTGTGAAGCTTAGTTTGGCTGCTTCACAGAGTCACATTGCAAACCTAAGATTCAGATTGCCGGTGTATTTCTTTCACCAACCCCTGGGACCCAAGGTCACACACCTAAGAGCTCAGAGTCAAACGGAGACTTTGTCTTTAGACAGAGAATCTCCTTTGGGGCTGCTGAATGTTAGCTACAGTGCCATACTCCTCAGCAGTCAAAGTAAAAAAAAATACCAGTCACATATTTTCTGTCCAAAATTAAAGAAAATCAATACATCAGCTCCAAAAGCAAATGACTTTAATGCTGTTTAGGAAGTAGCAACGAAACAGGAGAAGTGAACAAACGCTAGGCTTCCAAAATTAGACTCAAGTTGCTGCAGGTGTGTGTGTGTGTGTGTGTGTGTGTGTGTGTGTGTGTGTGTGTGTAGGGTGGGGGGTGGTTGAGGGAGTGGGTGGTGGTGCTCCAGCAGCACTCCTGGGCCTGTAGCCTCTCTGCCTGCCTCTGAAGTTCACTCCATTGAAGGATCCTGGGACTATCCCCTTCACCCACCTGATCCTTGCCTCTGAGACCCCTCCACTCTTTTGGAAAGAGTTGGGTTCAAGGGGAGGCAGTATGGGACAGTGGATAAGAGTGTGGGCTCTAGAGTCAGAGAGAGGTCAGCCCTGTGGATACCTGACCTTGGGTTACAGAGAGTTCAACTCAGTAGACATGTGAACTTGGGTGAGTGAATCTCTTCGTACTTCAATTACTCATCTGAAAAATGGGAGATGATTGTGGTGTATGAAGTGGAAAAATAAATCAATATACACAAAGTACTAAATCAGTTTCTGGTACACAGTTGGGACTCAATGTTTGCTGTGAGGAGCATATACTTCTACATTGAACCTATTTCTTCTGTAAATCTCACCTTGGCCTTTTTGGGCCTTTGACTCTGAAGCCCTGTTTTGTTTACGGATAATGTCAAGTAAGAAATGAGAATTCTGGACCATTTCTCTCAACCAGGAGTATTTTACTTCCCAGAGGACATTTGGCAACGTCTTGAGAAATCTGGGGTTGTCTGATTGGTGAGGGGTGCTAATGCATCTTCTGGGTAGAGGGAAGAGATGCTGCTAAATACCCTAGAGGATAGCCTCTGTCACAAAGAATAATATGGACCAAAATGTCAATGGTGCTGAAGATGAGAACCTCAGCTTGAGATAATAACTGGTATCTTTTCTCACATTTTGGAGGGCCTGATGTATTCTAGCTGTTGTATTAGGCCCTTTACACAGATAACCTCATTTGAACCTTATAAAGCTACAAAATAGGAACTATTAGTCCCTCTTGCATTGAAAGTGTAACCGTCTTCTTCAGGAATATGCAGAATATGAATGGATTTTACCCCATGGCAGCCTGACTAGCGGGAGCCATGGTTAACACTCCACATCTGCCACCTTATATACCACTCCCATCACCTACTTATGTTTCTTCTTTATTTCTATTCAGGCAGAGAAGCAAAGTGCAAAACCTATGTGGCTATTAGTACTATTTTCTTTTTTAGTAGAGTGGAGATTGCTGGAGTGTTCATTTTTAATAGGTTTACCAGATGGTGTTGAATGCCATTGCTAAAGACCTTTGAAATAAGTCATTTAAACTGATGAATATAACCCCCCTCTCCTAAATCAGGGAAACCTAGCTAGATTGTGACATTATTTTTAAAAAGACCTGTTTCTCCTTGACAGTCCCAAAGAGTAAATCTTATGGTAGATGGATATTTAAATGCTCTTCTATGTCCATCAGAAGTGGGGTTCTATGGAGACCAAAACAAACCAAACAAAAAAGCAAATAAGCAAACTATTCCAAAGTGTCCCAGTGAATGGAAGACTTAGAAGGAAACACATTCTGGAGTTTTCCAGCAAAGGAAGACACTCCAGAGAGACCACATTTCCTCTGCTGTGGCAGAAGTCTTTAGGTTCATGTAACAGCAGGTGCACTGAGTACATAGGTGCACTGGTGTTAAGAACTAGAGATATAGCAGTCCCAAGACTGCCCTCCAAGACTTTAGATTTCACTGTGAGAAGAGCTACATTACCTTTTTTCATTGGAAAGCAGAATCAAAGTAGGAAGGAGAGCTAGACCTCCATATCTGGAGCCATAAAAATAAATAAAGATAATAGTAAAAACGTAACTACAAAACAACTAAAACCCACTGAGCTCTCCCTTTGCTATAGGCAGTGCTGGATGCTTTTCATGTGTTGAGTAATTTGATCCCTACAAACACTTTATGAGGCAGATACAAATATTCTCCCCACTGTACAAATGAGGAAATTGAGGCTCCAAAGGGGAAGTTGTTAGGTTTGGTTAGGTTATTCCACAGGCTCAAGAAGATACACTTTATTCTGGCTTTAGATAGTAGCATAAAACCATTTGGATGACTGAGTGTGAATCCCTTTCCCTGTCTTGTGCAGATGAGTGACATTAACTTGGAATCTCATTATGTCTCATGCAGACTAAGTGAACTGCTGTGATTCCCAGCCTCCATTTGCTTAGCTGAGAAATGGGAAGTTACATGAGTAAATGGGAAGTTACTGTGAACTGTTGTCAAGTTCCCACTGACTGACAATGGATTTGGAGGAGGGGATGGAGGAGGAAGGTTAAAGGAAAATTCAGACAAAAGAAACTACCCGGAGACAATGACCTGCATAGATGACAATGCCAACAGCCACCTCAGTGTTTCTGATGGTGCAGCCTCGAAGCAGAAGACTCTCACAGCCAAATCCGGTCCTGGTCTTGTCAGGATGCTCCCTGGAGATGATGAATAAAAGACAGGAGGTGGATGGGTGGCCTCTTCCTTCTGTCACTGGGTAGTGTCACAGAACTAGAAGTGGTGAGTGAACATGATCCTTCTTCTGTTTTTCAGAAGAGTGATGGTAGCTCAGAATCTAATCTCCTTCATGTTCAAGGGCCGATCTCTTCACTGCTCCTAAGAGGCCTAGGTGGGAGCTAGGCCACTAGAAGGGAATTGTCCACCCTGAAAAAATTGCCATTTACCAACATAAAATGCAGAACTCTGCTGAAAAAGCCTTGGCTTCAATTCTCACATTCAAAATGTTTTTAGACAGGTTGCAGTAGAGAAGCCGGCCGAAACCCACCAAAACCAAGATGGTGATGAGAGTGACCTCTGCTTGTCCTCACTGCTACACTCCCACCAAAGCTATGACAGTTTACAGATGCCATGACAATGTCAGGAAGTTACCCTACATGGTTTGAAAAGGAAAGAAACCCTCAGCTCTGGGAATTGCCCATGCCTTTACCAGGAAACTAATGAATCATCCATTCCTTGTTTAGCATATAATCAAGAAATACCCATAAAAATGGGCAACCAGCAGCCCCTTGGGGCTGCTCTGCTATGGAGTAACATTCTTTCATTCCTTTACTTTCTTAATAAACTTTAAAAAGCAAACAAACAAACAAAATTGTTTTGGGGTAAAGTGCAGGGAAACTGGCTTCTGGCCTTAGGAGGACTGGCAGTGTTCACATGCTCACGATCACTCAGCTTCTGGGGACCAGAGTTGTACAAGCTGAACTTCCAAGTCCATAGGAGCCTCCAGGTAGTCTTGCTTTTCATACCATGGGACAGGTAAGAATGGCAAAGTAAGGAAGGGCAGGTCTGGGTGTCTCTTCTTCTGAGCCACATCACTCACTCGGCCTCTCTCCTGTAACAGCTTTTACTTGTTCAATAGCTTATAAAATAGACCTCACAGGAGTGGCCCTTTGCCCAATTTACTGGGAGACAGATCCTAAACATAGAGATAGTTTCTTCCTTCTTCTAGCCCCAGGGAGCATTGCAGTTTTCCACCTCACACTAGAAACTTATGAATCCAATCCTCCACTCCAGTTATTACCTGGGGCCTGGCCTTTATTCTATCCTGATGTTGTGCCTTTGAGATTTTCAGTAAGCTTAAATATAATTTCCAAAAACACTGGGGCAAACAGAAAAATAATAATCTGAACTCTTAGAGCTTTTTAAAAAAAACTTGTAATTCTTTAATACTTCTTATCACTAAGTCCAGTTATAAACCTTTTCCACTCAAGCCTCATGACAACCTTGTAAGATAGGGCATATTATCATACCCATTTTATAAACAGGAAAACTGAGGCAAGTTCATAAAGCCAGGAAATGGCAGAATGAGGATTCAAAACTAGTCTGGCCTCAGAGTGCTGTACTGTCACTCAATATTCCTTTTAATGCTAATGGTTCCTCACTGTGTTTACAAACTACATTTACTTACATAATTTTCTTTGGCTCTTTGCAGGTCTGGGAAGTTAGCAGGGTGATTACTTTTTACTTAAGAAAAAAATGGAAGCTCAGAGTGGCTGAGATTTTTCCAAGGCTATACACTTAGTACATGGGAAATCCTAAGACCAGGGAATCTAGGTCCCAGACACCCACCCTATTGAGATTTTCACTACGTTAGGATACCTAAGGAACTACCACATGCACTCACACTAAATCAGAGTCATTTCTATTTTCAATTCCGCTGAATATGTCAAGGAAGATGTTTCATTTCGTGTTGGTATATTCTTGACCCTATTCTAATGTTTGTCTATCCCACTTTTTAATGCAAAAAATGCTATAGCAAATAATAATTTGTAGTTAGAATATAACTCTTTTGATTTCATTGTATTAATTTTTACCTTTTTAAACACAGCAAGTGATCCTGGTTTCCCATAGGGCCCAGTGATACAAATTTTCCTTTTCAAATAAATTTTAGAAAAAGGTAATTAAAAATCTGGTAGATAAAATAGATTTTACTGAATATGATAAAAATCATAAAGGTGGTCTAAGAATGACTGAGGTTCAGGACCCGCCATTGTTCCCTCTGCATATTGAGGAGGCTGGCTGTGGATTTAATACTGGGCTAATGAATCTTGTTTGCCTCAATGTCAGTAACTTGTGGTTTCAAGAATGATTTTAGAATGTTCTCAAGTGATAGCATATGAGAGAAGCTCCTACTTCTCTTAGCCATACGTTCCTTTTTCAAAGAATGTTAGAAAAGGATTTGCTATCTTATAGCTGCTGTCTATTTAGCGCTCTTGATTTACAAGGATGCTCTACTATATTTCTTCTAGACTAGCATTTCTCAACCTTGGTGCTATTAAAATTTTGGACTACACAATTCTCTGCTGGGGTTGGGGATGCTGCTGCTGTGTACTGTAGCATCCCTAGCCTCTACCCACTCGATGCCAACAGCACTTTTCCCCAGTTGTGGCAAGAAAAATGATTTCAGACATTGTCAAATGTCCCCTGGTTGGAGTGGTGATGGTAGTGGTGGTGGTGGCGGTGGTGACTGCCAGTGGAGAACCACTGCTCTGTAGAGATTCTTTTGTTCAAAAGTCACATTTTCAAATCTGACACCCCTAACCTTCAAATAGATCATTAAAAGCTATTCATCTTCTAGCCAGCCTATGTGGCCTCAGGGAGCTTCTAAATTAACGAGACTCACAGAAGCTTCTGGGAAACCCAGAGGCATCAGACTAGTGGGTTTGCTCAGGAAGAAGGTGCAGACCATCTGTGGGTGCCAGGCCTGAGGGTGTTTTCCTTGCTAAGTGCAGCAAGGGTGTGGGAGCGCAGCAAGGAATTCTCCTTCATTCCATGGGTTACCTACTCAATTGCCCAACTGGACTTTAGGACTCATCCGTGAGTCCCAGGCAGGTGGAGGAAGGACAGGTCTCCCAGAGCAGCAACCAGGAAGAGGAGGTGCAGGGGTTGAATGAAGCTGGGAGAGTTCTGTCCTGGAATCTGTCTCAGGGGGCAGGCTGGAACCCAGGTTGAAAGCTGAGAAAGCCTGGCTCTCAGCCTGAGCTGTTCAGGGGAGAAAGGTCCTAAACAGAAATCTAGCAATGAGGCTGTTCTCTAAGAGGATATGCAAAGTGACTCAAGGCATGAATGATTTGGGATCAATCAAGTTCAAAAACCTAAGGCATAAGGGACTCCTTTCTCTTCAGAGCAGGTGACAGGCTTTACCTCTCCTCTGCCACAAAGTCCTTTTCTGAGGACCTCAGGCCCTTCTCTGCCTGTCCCCTTCTGCTCACTCCGTATTTTAGAAGTAATTTGCCTATAAAAGCTACAGTTTCTCTGGTATTGTTCTTACTGTTTCTCCTTTCTATTTCTCCTCATAATATCCCACACGACCTGAGGACATGTGGGCAGAAGAAAGCAAAGACAGCTGCATTTCAGGGAGCTGCTCAGCCTCATTCCAAGCCCTGCTGGTGGAGAAGTTGGTGGGACATGGCTGAGCTCCTCAATGGATGGCTATGGAAAGTACACAGGATTGGAGTCAGAAGACCCCCATATGAGTCCTGGCTTTGTCTTGTACCTGCTGTGTGACTTTGGGAGATCCTTTAAATGTATAAAGTCTCAGATCATCTTAATCCAAGTCATGATATTTGCACTCTGGGGTTGTGAAGATTATGTGAGATAATGCTCTGTGGAAGTCCTCTAAAAGCTGTTAAAGCAAGTTTGTCTGACCCACGGCCCACATGTGGCCCAGGGTGGCTTTGAACATGGCCCCACACAAATTCATAAACTTTCTTAAAATATTGTGAGGTTTTTTTTTTTTTTTTTTTTTCTCATTGGCTATTGTTAGGGTTAAGTGTTTTTTATGTGTGGCCCAAGATAATTCTTCCAGTGTGGCCCAGGGAAGCCAAAAGATTGGACACTCCTGTAGAAAAGCATTGTATAAGGGCATTTAATCACATCTGTTATTATGGCTCTTTATTTTGTGAGACTAGTGGTCTGATATGGGAGCAGAATCACAGTAAAATTCTTAGGCTGAACCAAAGTTGAGGAATAAGAATAACAATTATCCTAATAGCAGAAGCCACTGTTAGCTGAATATTTCCTCTCTACCAGTTGCTGTAGTAAGGGTTTTGTGTGTGCTAAGTCACTTAATCTTAGAAAAGAAAAATCCTTTGATATCAATATTAGAATTTTTTGGACGTGGAAACAGGCTCAGAGAGGTGAATTAATTTACCCGAGGTCACATAGCTTATAATTTGCAGAACCCCTATTCAAACCCAGATCTGCCAAATTCCAAAGTTATTGTTCTTACTCACAATGCAATACAGGCACTTAAAAAAAAAGATCTTAATTAATTCATATTCACCTTCCTGAATCAGAGCACAATCTTGATTTTGATGCTATTTTACAAAGGTTTTTTTTTTTTGTTGTTGTTGTTTTGTTTTCTTAATAAAACACTGGTGAATTTAACCCTGCAAGATAATTATCATTCAACAACAACAATAACAAAAATAAAAAGTTTCCCAATTTAAATTTCTCTAGTCCTTCTTTATCACACACACACAAAATAAAATACCTCAGGATGAAGATGCTTATCTGTTTGGTCATCTCTAGACAATATATTTTCTAGCAGCAGTGGAGATATTTACTAGCAGCACGGAACATGAGATACTTACATATAACCCTTAAATTTGTTGAGGTGGTTGTTGGGTTTCTCACACACGATGGTATTGTGGAAAAGCTCTGGTTCGAACTGTACCTCCTGTGAGAGAAAGAGGACTCTGTGAGGTTATTAATTCAGATGGATCTTGTCTTAATAGGATCATTGGGAGAGCTAATCACTGTTAGAACCATTGCAAATAAGGTAATCCCTGCTTTGTCACACTTTGATAGTTGTAATGTGTTAGAAAAAAAGAATTTAGTCCTCATTAAGGAAGAGAAAGCAAATGCCAATGAAAAGTTTGATGCAGGACAGAGGGAGGTTACTACCCTGATTGCATTTCTCTGACCTGCCTGGGTCTGGGGCTGTAGCTCAGATCTAATAGAACGTACTGCAATGATGGACTGCTTTGAGTGCATTGCGCTGCAGCATGGAAGCCACTAATCACATGTGGCTATTGAGCACTTGAAGTTTGGTAGTTTGACTAAGGAATTGTTTTCTTAAAAAACGTAATTTGATTTTAATTAATTTAAACTTAAATAGCTACATGTGGCTAGTGGACACCACAGAAATAGATGATTAAAAAGAAGGCATTATAAATCTTACCTCATAGAGAGATTCACAGCTAAAATGCTTGTGCATGTAATATGTCCAGGGTTTCACAAATATATATTCATTACCCAGGCATGGTGGCTCACACCTGTAATCCCAGCACTTTGGGAGGCTGAGGTGGGCGGATCACCTGAGGTCAGAAGTTTGAGACCAGCCTGACCAACATGGTGAAACCCTGTTTCTACTAAAAATACAAAAATTAGCCGGGCATGGTGGTGCGTGTCTGTGATCTCAGCTACTCGGGAGGCTGAGGCATGAGAACTGCTAGAACCCAGGAGGTGGAGGTTGCAGTGAGCTGAGATAACACCACCGCACTCCAGACTGGGAGGCAGAGCAAGATTCTGTTAAAAAAAAAAAAAAAAAAATATATATATATATATATATATATGTATATGTATATATGCATGTGTGTGTGTGTCCCCACATCCACATATATTTGTATAAGCATACACATGTGCATTTATACATTTTAACAATGAAATTCACTGTTCATAGATCTTGAACATTTTCATGTTATTAAATTTTTTTATATCTTTATTAAATATGCACAGAAACCTACTGTATAATATGTGGCAGGCCAGGTCTCACTAATGCAGGCCTCCATTACAACTGTCCCAGCACTGAGTAGCCAGGTTAAACATTAAAAGCTGATTGAGCCAGGGTCCGTATACAAAGGCTGGTGTGTAACAAAGATCCCAGGAAGGTTGCCTAGGCTTTTCCTGGGCCTTGAAGCGTGAGAAGATAACAAAGGAATTCTTAACAGGAATTTTAAAGATTAAATAAATTTCACTGGAGATCTGAAGAAACTCCCCAGGCCTCCACAAACAAGTTTATTGGGGTCTAAAAGACTACCTTAACCCTTATGATTTAGCAGGAGACAAGATAAGGTAATCACTACAGCACCTAGACCCATTTAGATTAAGTAAACTTACTGAGGCTCCAGAAGTAAGTCTTTAGACTCAGACTTTGGTTATAGATTAGAAGAAGTTAATCACTTATGTCTTTTGATGAATGCATGCTTACAGGTAGACATATAGCTCAGAAAGTAGATAAGCTCTGGAAAGCTTTGTAATTTTGAGTTGGTCTGGCAATAATTTCCAAGCCTTCTCCCTGTAAAACGGTTACAAAAATAAAAACTCTCTTCCTCCCCAGTTCATCTACATCTTGTTATTGGGCCACAAGAAATAACAGCCCAACCCTCAGTTTGGTCCAGGAACAAAACTGACCATATTTCCTTTAATCATTTCACTATTGAATATGTACAGTGTTTCAATTTGTTTTGCTATTATTATAAAAATGCTGTGAAAATAGCTCATAGAACAAAATAAATAGCATTTACTGGACTCTTATTTCTGCCAGACACTGCAATGAAAATTTTATATATATTATTTATTTTCAAGCTTACAATCATTCTATGAAGAAGGAACTTTAATTTGCCTGTCTGTAGAGATGGGAAATCTGTGTCCATGTTCAAACCTATTTAAATCTCATGGGCTGGGATTTTAATCCAAGTTCAACTGCAGACCTAAGTATTTTAAACACATTCTTGATTCTTTACTTTTTAAAGGCATTTCTATTGTACAAGTTCTTTTAGTCCAATGGGGGCGAAACACAACTGCTGGTGGGAGAGCTTGCTTTCTGACTCTCGTCTACACTGACTAGTACTGCTTCCAACTTCTGAGCCTCTGTTTCTTCATTTGTAGAATGGGGCTAACATAACCTGCCCTGCCCATCTTAATTGTGCCTGAGAAAATAGAATCTTTGTGGAAAAGTGTTGAGACATGTAACATTCCACCCAAACAGAAGGCAGCAGTGCTAAAGGTGGGATTGGAAATGTTTTCCTCAGTAGAGCTTTTAGCAAGGGGTCTGAGTTTATTACTGAAAGCTACAAAGGTACAGCTGTTTAAAGCGGCAAATTGATTTGAAGAAATTATAGCATTCTCTGGTTTCGTGTAAATATACTGTCCATTGGCTCTGAGGGGGCGCCAACATAAACAAACTCTCTACTCACTTGAAATAAATTACCCATCCAGGAGTTTCTAAAAATATGGTCCTTTTCCCTCCAGGTATTGATTCTTTCAGGGACAAACACTTGCCAAGCTCTGAGATGAGGACAAATCACACTATAATTTGTGAGCTACTTTCATGCCCCTGATTAAGTCGTGAGCTTCACTTCAGATCCATACCACTCAGTTCAGCGCTGGGTCTTTTTTTTTTTTTTATTTTCAATTCTTTTTTCTTTTTGCCCAACTCTGCTGGTATCAGTGCTGGGTCTCTAAATCCAAACTCATTTCAGATATAAATGGCAGTGGGGTCTGAGCACTAATGATCCCTCTGCAATGCCTTGGACACCCTGCTGCCGGTTTAATCACACCCCCCAGGCCCCAGCCATAAAGTTTGACTCTTGTTCCTCTGTTGGGGCTGCTTAGCCACCTCCCTCCTGTAATGTCCCTCCTGGTTCTGTGTTCTCTTTTCTGCCAAGCATGTGACTTTGGTCCTCTGTCTTCTTTTGTGACTTTGGTCCTCTGTTTTCCTCTTTTCATGGAGAGGTGACCTTGCTCTTTCTAGCTACATGTCCCCTGGGCTCCTTCCTTCAGCTGGAGGAAGAGGGGCTGTGGAGAGGGGCACATGGGTTCTGCTGGCTGCAAAGACAACCACTGAGGCCCTGCTTGCTTTTAAGGATTTGCTGTATTTCCCTCCAGGGCAGCTGTTGGGCCAGCCCAAAACAGAGAAGTGCCCAGCCTTACAAACCTGTCAGGGCTCTTATTTATTTATTTATTTATTTATTTATTTATTTATTTATTTATTTGAGATGGAGTTTTGCTCTCGTTACCCAGGCTGGAGTGCAATGGCGCGATCTCGGCTCACCGCAACCTCCGCCTCCTGGGTTCAGGCAATTCTCCTGCTTCAGCCTCCTAAGTAGCTGGGATTACAGTCAAAGTGTTGATTTTAGATCTTTCCTTCCTTCTCATGTGGGCATTTATTGCTATAAATTTTCCTCTAGACACTGCTTTAAATGTATCCAAGAGATTCGGGTATGTTGTGTCTTCATTCTTGTTGGTTTCGAAGAAGATCTTTATTTCTGCCTTGATTTCATTGTTTATCCAGCCAACATTCAAGAGCTTTCATGAAGTTGTGTGGTTCAGAGTTAAGTTAGTTTCTGAATTCTGAGTTCTAATTTGATTGCACTGTGGTCTGAGAGACTGTTACGATTTCCGTTCTTTTGCATTTGCCAAGGAGTGTTTTACTTCCAATTATGTGGTCAATTTTAGAGTAGGTGTGATGTGGTGCTGAGAAGAATGTTTAGTCTGTGGATTTGGGGTTGAGAGTTCTGTAAATGTCTATTAGGTTTGCTTGGTCAAGATCTGAGTTCAAGTCCTGGATATCCTTGTTAATTTTCTGTCTCTTTGACCTGTCTAATATTGACAGTGGAATGTTAAAGTCTCCCACTATTATTGTGTGGACATCTAAGTCTCTTTGTAGGTCGTTAAGAACTTGCTTTATGTATCTGGGTGCTCCTGTATTGGGTGCGAATATATTTAGGATCATTAGCCCTTCTTGTTGCATTGATCCTTTTACCATTATGTAATGCCCTTGTCTCTTTTGATCTTTGTTGGTTTGAAGTCTATTTTATCAGAGACTAGCATTATAACTTCTGCTTTTTTTTGCTCTCCATTTGTTTGGTAAATCTTCCTCTATCCCTTTATTTTGAGCCTATGTCTGTCCTTGCACGTGAGATGTTCTTTTAGCTCAGAGTACTTTGTTATTACCCACTTTGAAGACTGTTTCCGTCAATTCATCAGATTCATTCTCCATCCAGCCTTGTTCCCTTGCTGGTGAGGAGTTATGATCCATTGGAGGAGGAGAGGCCTTCTGGTTTTGGGTGTTTTCATCCTTTTTGCGCTGGTTTCTTCCCATCTTAGTGGCTTTATCTACCTGTGGTCTTTGTAGTTGGTGACTCTCAGATGGGGTCTCTGAGTGGACGTCTTTTTTGTTGATGATGAAGTTATTTCTTTCTGTTTTTTACTTTTCCTTTTAACAGTCAGGCTCCTCTGCTTTAGGACTGCTGGAAGTCAACTCCAGACTCTGCTTGCCTGGGGATCACCTGCAGTGGCTTCAGAACAGTAAGGGTTGCTGCCAGTTTCTTCTTCTGTTATCTTTGTCCCAGAAGGATATGCACCAGATGTCAGCCTGAGCTCTCTTTTATGAGGTATCTCTTTGGATATATGGGGGTCTGGGAGCTGCCTGAGGAGACAGTCTATCCCTTATAAAAGCTCAAGTGCTGAGCTGTGAGCTCTGTTGTTCCATTCAGAGCTGCTGGGCAGGTACATTTAAGTCTGTTGTAGCGGAGCTCATAACTGCCTTTTTTTCCCAGGTGCTCTGTCCTGGGAGGGACTTTATTTATAAGTTCCTAATGTGCTGCTGCATTTTTTCAGAGATGCCTTGCCTAGCGAGGAGGCAGCCTAGTCATAGTCTGTCAGCGGAGGCAT